GGGACTAAAACGGGAGTCTAAATAAACATATGAAACTCTTTATTAGAAATTTTTAATATGATTGCATACTTGAAATATTTGAATCTTAGACATTAAATTTGATAAATTCACCATCGTTTCTATTTTATTTTTTTTTTTTTAAAAAAAAAGTTGAGTTTGCACTTTCAAAGCTGACAACCCATTAGTCAACGTCAAGACAACCCATGAAATAGCACAACCGGAAATTATATATATAATTGGCTAAATGAAAAAGAAAAGTCAATTGTAAAAACTTCTACGGGTTGTTGATAGTAATATATACAACTTGGCAAAAAGAAATACCAGCGGCGGAAGGCTGAAGCATGAAGTGGAACAATGAGAAATCTTCGTAAGTTTCTTCCATTCTAGTTCTAGCTGTCATAAACATTCAACAACGACACCGAGATGGCAGCCGAACAATAAAGATACAACTACTAATTTTCTGTCTTAGTGTATGTTGGTTGTTTCAACACCGGAGGTTTCTATACTGCACAGAGGCCTCATCTTGAGCAGCTTTAATTGTCTCCTCCCTTATTGCCTTTCATATATGCATGATATATAAATTAACCAAAAATTGAAAGAGCAACAGATAATAAAATAAAAATATTAAATTATAAAGTAGAAGATAATAAAATAAAGAACTCATAAAAGTACGAAAATAAAAATATTGAATAGTAAAAGTAGAGATAATAAAAGAGAGTAAATACCTTATGAAAATATAGTTGTACGCTTGAATGAATATATATGTTTATATATATATGGATAAGAAAAAATTTTAAAATTTATAAAATTATAATTATCTACATATAAATTTAAAGTTTTAGTTGGATTCGCTTATAAGATTAGATAATTAGGTTAGATTCAAAAGTTATCATTATTAAAAAATAAATTAAATTGGCCAAATCAAAATAAAAAAAATTAAAAATTTTAATATATATATATATATATAATGCTGAACAAAGAGAAGGAATTTATCTCTTTCTTTCAGCTTTTACAAAGAGAAGGAATTGATCTCTTTCTTTCAACTTTTATATAGATATATAGATTTTGAGAGTCATGAATCTTCCAAGGAAATCTTTAGAATGAATTTATATATTTAGGCTTGAATAAGATGCATGGTAGCTTTACAAAAAAAATTTTGTTGGATCGTTTTGTCTTTTCATCATAGCTTTATCATCACTCAAAAGCCTACTCGATCAAGGAAACTTCTTACTACGTAATGTCTAATTTGTTTCTTCACTAGGAAATTTCTATTTCTGGTTTTTACTTTTTGCAGATACTATTGTTGCAATTTGTAATATTACTTAAGCCATTCTATTTATTTTTAATTTAAATTTTGAATTAAAAAAAGGAAATACATAATCCATAAAATAGATAGATTAAGGTGTAAAATAACTAAAACTAGTCTTATCAAAATAATTAAAACTAGTCTCTTTCTACATTTATATATCCTATATGTATTTTTAACTGAATATTTTAATATTTTGTCTCAAGTAGCAAATAAGATTCAATTTATAGTCTGATTGAACTTTTCACTAATACGAGGAGTGAGATTTCAGGGAGGAGTACTCACCATCATAAGAGTTTTTACTAATTAATTTGGTGAGTCAAACCGAGGATTAATCCCTATTATGTAACTTATAAAGTTATTTCAATCTATTGAACTTCTCGATAAATAAAAAAAAGAGAGTAAATGTCATCTTATCACTTCAAATAAACTCAGTATACTTATTTTTTAGAAGTTAATTCATTGATTTGGTATATGTTTTTAAAGTCATCAACATAATGAATGAATGATTGTCAAACTTTTTTAGGAGTTTAAAGTTTGAAGCCGTGAGATGACTTTTAATTTGAATATCACTCTTGCTCCAAATATGAAAACACATGTTCAAATAAAAAAAAAATAAAAGTCGAAATCACCATAGGTGTTATTTTATAAAGCTAAAAATTAAATATTCAAAATTTAAAATTTAAATGGTTAATAATATAAGTGGTATATAAACATAGAAATTGTAAAATTATTAATAAACTCCACGATTTAGTAAATTAAGTACAAATTTTAAGTTAAAACTTCACTTTATCATTTTAATAAATTTATGTAAATTGAAACTTTTAAATGATATATAGATAAACACCAATATAAAAAGAGTTAAAATTATTAAGTACTGAAACTTCTCATTTTTAAATAGTGAATTATGTCATAAATATATACATAAAGATTTTTACTATTTGTTTTTGAATAAACATAATTATTTATATAATTCATGTAATATGACATTGTTTTATTGTCACGGATAAATAATTAATTTGTTTGTTCTATTAAAAAATTTAATTAACTAATAATTATATTGAAGTCTGAAAAAAACATTTTACTATATTGTTTCATAATATTCATCACATTTATAATTTTAAGAATTAATAAATTTTTTTTCTATATTTACCCTTTATATAAATCAATAATTATTACTTTAATATAATAGTTATTTTAAAAAATTAATATTAAATTAAAAATATAATAATTATATTGAAGTCTGGAAAAAAACATTTTTACTGAATTGTTTCATAATATTCATCACATTATATTTTAAGAAATTAATAAAATTTTTTTCTCTATTTACCCTGTATAATAAATCAATATTAATTACTTTAAAATAAAATAGTTATTTTAAAAAATAAAATTAATATTAAATTAAAAATAATATAACTAATTACCTTAATAATTTATTATAATTTAAATAAATTTAATGATTTTCCATCTCACAAGTATTAGTTTTTATATAATCGTTGAGGAATGGGAAAATTCATAACTGCAACCAACAATAATTCTCGTCAACCTTTCGTACACTCAAAAAGTTATTCCATCATCAAAAGTTTTCTGTTTACCAAAACACATAAGATGATGGTCCCCACCATTGGCTCAATTGTTTTTATTTTTTTATTTTTATTTATTTATTTTTTTTTTTTAAAAATTTTCACAAAAGTTTGATTCGATTGATAGCTAATTGGAATCTTACATTTTATACCGATATTTATAAGCTAAATGCTATTAGCCATAAATTATCATCAATGACTATCACTATCAACTAATACGAAGAACTAAACTAAAGAAACCTCTATTCTTCCTTATTCAGTGCTATTAATATTTTATTCAAAAAATTACTTAACTTTTGTTACATTATAATAAAATTATTACTCTATCAATGGTATTTTTCATATAATTAAAAATTAAAACAAATTTCATAAAATAAATGAATAAATTAATTAACAAATTGACACCTAACGTAATTATTATTACAAAATTTCATTTGAAAATTTTGTATTTTTTATTTTTAAAATTTGAAAATGCAATCAAGTCAATATTTACAACAATAGTACCATATTTTTCTATGTGTTTATTTACAAACAATTTTGACAATTAGAAAAAAGGCATATTATTAGATAGCAATTTAAATGTAGTCTGATTAGTTTTTTTATTACGAGGAGTGAGAATTGATCATGAGGATACACGAATTAAAATAATTATTAATAAATTAACTTTAAATCAACAAACCTAAAAAATTAATAGAATTAACAAGATGATTTCTATAAAAAGTACACGTATTTAAGAGATTCAGAATTTGAATTTTACAAATTTGTATAAATTACATAATTAAATAGCTAAATTTACCTAATAAATTAATGAAAGAGAAAATTATAATTGTATGCATATACATTGTTAAAAATAATTATTTTACTTTTGTATTTTTAAAAATACTTTCATACTCTTATATTTTCAGTCGGTCAAACACTGCCCCTTTCCTTCATTTTTACATTTTCAAAAATTAAATTATTATAAACTGACATCAATCCCTTAATTACAAAACAAAATTAACTTTGTCTTAAAACCGATGGTCCCTTTGCCAGCCTCGCTGCTGCCACTCGGAATGGCCGCAAAATCGAATTATCTTAGGATCTTATAACCTAACTATCAAAATTACCAGAACCGTATGAGAAACTCAATTTTTATATCCATTTTCCTTTTTATCACCAATTATAACTGAGATCAAAAAATTCTCAAAACCTCAAATCAATCTTTCGTAAAACTAAAATTTATTGAAGAAAATCGTTCGATTTTCACTCACCTCTTTAATGGATGCTCATGGGAAAAGCTCATTTGTCGGATTGAAATTATCGTTTAACCCAATAGATAGGTCATTTGGAAGGGCTAACAAAATGGGTCGTGCAGATGGATAAGAATCCTAACCGGAATTAGTTATTCCCTCTAACACGCTATCCATGATCGCTCCTCTTATCCATCGAACCTCCACCGCTTCTAGCACCCAATACTGTCATCGCCGGTCAAAGAGTAGAGAGCCACCAACTCTAATCGTCATTTGTGGCGTTTTTCTTGGGTTCTTGACTTGTTTCTCTATATTTTCTACCGTCTCAACCACGAAGAGGGAGAAAGTGACAAAATACCCAACGTCAAGCCAAATTACAGTATTTCTTGCGACTTATTCTTCTGGGCAAGTTTTCAATCCAATGGCCCAAGTGTTTTCCAGATCAAACCCTACCCATCCATTTCGACGACTTCTTCTTCTGGGCAAGGCACTCAGTTTCAAAAAACAACTTTAATCCAATAGCCCGTGTGCTTTCCAAATTAAATCCTAACCATCCATTCTTATCTAATGCTAAAGACTTAGACGGTGGTGGAGATTATAACCTCTTCAAAATATTTTTGACACATATTTAATTTATCTTCCTTTAGACCATTACAATCTACATTAACTTATTCTTTGAAAATGTAAAAAATACCAAATAATACAGCGTAAGACACTGAAGATATGAGAATATGAAAATTTATTTTAAAAAATATAAGAGTAAAATAGTCATAAATATGAGAATATGAAAATTTATTTTAAAAAATATAAGGGTAAAGTAGTTATTTTGGATAACTATCAGGATACGATTATAATTTTCCATAGTCACAGGTCCACTTTGTTCAATATTTAGCTTCTTGCCTCTCTAGTTTCAACGCATCCCAGCCAGGCGCAACTTCGCTCTATTTTGTCTGGTTCCCAATTCCTGTTGAAACTCCAACGACTCGGCCGTGCCGGAGAGACGCCGCAAGTCTCCTCTGTATACAGCGAGGGGTGAAATCTCTGACACCCCTCTCTGTACACAAAAGCCACTGAACTTCTCCTTTCTTTACCGTCAGCTCTAGTTTTTCTTCTCTCAGCAAACATGAACTCAGTTGTGCAGGTTGATTTGTTAATTAACTCACAGTCAATTGCTAATTAAGCCTGTGTTTATTTCATTCTAATCTCGATTTGCTTCTGCTAATTACAGTTTTTCTGTTCTTAATTCCTTTTTCTTTTGTTGATTTAAGGGGTTCTCAAAATCTCTCGCCATGACTGTTCTATCCGAGATCGGCGACAAGACCTTTTTCGCCGCAGCTGTTAGTATAAATTCATTTGTTTTCGTTTTCTTCTTTTGCCTAACTTAATTGATTTTAGTGGTGGATTTGAGTTGATTAAATGCTTGACCTGCCATTGTATTCATTTCTTCTTTTATTGTTAGCTGAGGAAGTAATTGTTGAAGTTGAGTTTTGAATTTGTTTATTTATGTATAATTGCTAGTTTGTATATATATGATTGTTTTTTCTTTTCTTCGTTTTTAAATTCAGATGAGACATTGTAAACTTTCTGAGGTTGTGTGTATTTTATATATATGAAAAGTGAATTTTACACGAAACATGATTTTGTTTTCCACTAGAATGGTAGGTTACGCTTTACAGGGTCCACTAGAATAGGTATCAATTCATGTTGCATAGTTTAATATATATTCCCATATCTTTCTTGCTCTAGTGTTGTGATTCTATTATTATGTTATCAATTATCAATAATCTATATATTAGATATTGCTTCCCAGTTACGTTCTGTCTTCTGTGTTCTGCTATGGTCATGTTGTGAGGTCTTGCATTTTTGGCAATCTTTTTTAATGTTTCTTTCAAATTCTGGTTTTCACCAACCTCTGGGGATTAGGGTCAAACATGCATTAAAATTTAATTAATTCTGTACTTGGTCTTCCGGCATCCACTTTCACTTCCTTCCTCACTCAAAATTTTCAACCTTTTAGTTTGTGACTGCTGTTACTGAATAATGGCGGCGGCGGCGGTGGAGGTGGTTGTTTTTTTATTTTTTATTTTTTGGAGTTGCAGTTATACAATTGAGGATGGAAAAAACCATTTTCTAGATTCAGTTAATATATATCCGTAAAAATGATTTAGCGGATCTATAATGGGGGCACTTGCCCCCACTGGTTTTTTACAGTTTAGTTTATAATTTTTTTTTTCCATTTTGGTATATATACTTATGTTAATTTATACTTATTCCACTGAATTTTTATATTTTGCCTCCACTAAATTACTACTTTTATGCATTACCCCCACTAATTTGATTTTCTGGATCCGCCCCTGGGAATGGCTGTTGTTCTGCATAATGAAAAATCTTTACGTGCAATGCAGCATGAACATTCAATTTCTTTCCATAACAGCCTTTGTAGCCGATATTTTGTAGCAGATATTACTGAGCGCTCCAAGGCTAATGCTTTAATTGATTTAGTCCAGCAGTATAAGAAATAGAAGGACTAGAGGCCAAAGATCTTATAGTCTTGATGTTGTTCCACAGCAGCAATGGGAATAAAAAATATGAACAGAGTTACCCAATAAAAAGGATTTTGAGATATTGTCTAAATTTTTCCAATGAAACACTTGATATGAGTGAGAGTAAGCAGATTCTTTTGGGTTTTATTGCTAAAATTCCTTACACAGTGTTAAGAATAACAAGCATAGAATTCTTTTGATTTTCAAATGAATTTCATAAAAAAAGTCATTTGTAAATGAATTCTCATTCTGGAATAAGTATTCTATGAGGACTTCATTTTAAATTTGTAGTTTTACTAGATTGTGTGGCTTTACCAGTGCTAAGTCTGGAATCATTTGCAAATTCTATCAATTTCAATAGAAATTGGGTCAAGCACACCAAATTTTATAGAATTAAAAATATGTTTTTGCAAGTGAAATCAATAAATTGTATGGAATTCATTTATACCAAACAAACTCGATAATTTCGTAGTTCTCTAGTTGTTTGGCGCTGGGCTTTTTAGTTACTCAATTTATATGTTCATATTAAAAGTTAGTGGTACCAGGTTAAAGGTTTCACTCAATTTCCATTTATGTCTTTTTCTTAATAATTGAAACTTGCGCTACATTTTTTTTTTCACTGGATAGTGTAAAAAAATAGTTTGATGTGCTTGTCTGACATAAGTTTCTTTGTTTCAAGATCTTGGCAATGCGTCACCCAAGAAGACTTGTTTTAGCAGGTTGCCTGTCAGCTTTGATTGTAAGTTTCTGATGCATTTACTTTTGGCGCTTGATTGAATCCCTCGTATCTGTGGCCAAATTATAAAAATGGAACCGCTTGCTGTTTTATAGGTGATGACTATCCTTTCTGCTGTTGTTGGCTGGGTGGCTCCAAATCTGGTAAGCTGTCCAATGAATAATGTATTTGTGCGGATAATTGTATGATTATACCCATTGCACGATATTGAAAATGGAGCCATCCAAAACCTATTCAAACCCTAGGCATCCAGCATGTGGAATGTCACTTCTTGCCCTTTCAACCATTGTCTCTCATGATTATTAATTTTATTAGTAATTGAGCCAATTTCATGTTCGTATATAATTTTATGATCCATTTAGTTTGGGCTCCTAGAAAATTGTTTGGCAGCGCATAATAGGTATGAAAAATTAATCAATAGCCGTTACCTATTTCTCATTATTGAATGCATTTTATTTTTTGCAAAATTAGTGCACCTTTATCTTTTTTGTTTTTGGTGAATTTGGAGCGGTATGAATCCTTTTAAGGGTCTATAGGTTTTATTCATTTCAGGTACGTGAAATTTATCAGAAGAACAAATAAATAAAATTGCAAGTACTTTTGATGAATGCCTTATCTGTGTACCTGCTAATTGTGCAGGCATTACATATTTTCTTTTAGGACATTTTTTCCTCTCTTAATCATCATTGGTGATTGAGAAGGTGAATTAGCCATGCATTATGGGCCCAAGACTGTTTATGCATATGCACTTGGTTATCCTATGTTAACTGAATCTTTGGTGATGTTAAATGATGCAGCTCTCTCGTACATGGACTCATCACATAACAACTATATTGTTTTTTGGATTTGGAATTTGGTCCTTGTGGGATGGATTTACTGATGGAGGGTACTTTTTTTTTTTTCTTTTTAAACTTCATTTTGCACTCATTTCAGGCTTTAGAATATGTTTTCACTAGAGGGTAATTCTATTTTATCCAACAGGGAGGCTGAGGAATTTGCTGAAGTTGAAGCAAAATTGGTATGTTTATCCCCTATACTGACACTAAAATTCAGGTGGAATCCTATTTTACATTGCCTTGGTTTTGTTGCTAGGATGCTGATTGGAAAGCTAATGGCGAAACAGCCAAAGGGGAAGCCAAGGTAGAGCACAATGCTAATGATGCCTACATGCTTATTTGATAGTTAATTGGAAGAATGTGAACTGTTTTGTTAATTAGTCTAATTTTGCGAACTTTTTTTTTCTTTTTCTATGCTATGTGTTTTTCAAATTTTAAACTTTTTTCCCAGGCTGATGATGAATTGAAGAAGCAGAGACGGCCATTTCTCTCTCAGTTCTTCTCACCTATATTCTTGAAGGTAAATATTGTTTGAAAACTATAAGATTAAACTTTTGTGATACTATTGAATTTCATCATTGCTGCTGTGCAGGCATTTTCTATTACGTTCTTTGGTGAATGGGGTGACAAGAGCCAGGTAAGAGTCAGCAAGACCTGCCTTTGAATATGTATAATAACATCCACTTCTATGTAACTCTTTTTTGCACAATGCATTCCTGTCATTTCAGATAGCTACCATTGGTTTGGCTGCAGATGAGAACCCATTTGGTGTTGTCCTAGGTGGAATTCTGTAAGTATAATGTTGATTTCTCTATTTAGCTTAGGAATTTTAGGTGCCTATAGTTATTGCATTTCCTTATTCTTTTCAGAGGACAAGCATTGTGTACTACCGCTGCTGTTGTTGGAGGAAAGAGTTTGGCATCTCAGATATCTGAGAAAATAGTAATAGAAATGCTTTCATTTTATTTTTTGCCATGTTAAAATCCTAAATATTTAGTTAATATTTGAGGAGAAAAAAAAATGATTTGCCATCTTGGTTTACATTTTATTTTGTCACGTTCAATATAAATTTTGTGGTGTAGGTTGCTCTGGCAGGTGGAGTTCTTTTTATTATTTTTGGGCTTCAGTCCTTCCTTTCAACGGTCGAGTCATGAGGCTCCTGATTTTCTAATGGTTAGTATTTCCACAACAATCAAAGACCATTCTTCAGAGTCACTGGCTAACTGATAGCGTTGAGGGGAAACCCTTTTCAGTTTTCACTAATTTATGTTTGAAAGTCAGAAATAACAACGCCGCCAAAACCCCAATTGAATATTCTGAGAATTGGTTTAGTAATATACTTTTGCTGTTGTGGTATAGCTCCTAATGATTGATATTTGTGTTTGCATTTGTTCAGGATTGATATCTCGTTTCATGAATTGACAAAAATTGAGCCATTGAGAATATTGCAAATAGAGTCTGCAGCTTTATTGAATATTTGAGAATTGAGTGCAATTGTACGATCAGGAACCAGCTGATTCGAAGTACTAATTTAAATGTTTGATTTATAAAGATGAAGCACTCTGTTATACTATTTTCATTTTGGTAATGGCTCTTCCTTTGTCGCTTTTCATCTAGTGTATGCTCTCCTTAAATAAGGATATTGTTAGATAATGAAATTTCATACAAGATGAATCAATTTGAGGCCTATGAACCATGGACATGAGCATTGGGCATGACGTTGATCTGACGTTCTATTATTCTTAGAGACTAATAACATCGTTATACCTGTCTAATTGAACGAGGCAAGTGTTTTTGATTGCCCCATTTCAAGTATTATATAATAATCGAGTAATTTTGGAGTCTAATTAATTATTTCAATTTTTTTCAACTTATTTATTTCACATTATATATAATTTTTAAATAAATAACAATTTACTAATTTGATATTAAATTTATGCTCGTTTGACTTTATTAATAATAATATGAATAAATAAATTTATTTACCATTTTAATGATGATTTAGCTCGATTTGAACTTGAGTCTAAAAGTATTCTGCTCGAGTTTTAAGTAGAGGCTCAAGTTCAACTTGAAAACTTTTAAACTCGGATTTGGTTTGAAACTCATAAGTCTAAAAAAAATATTATATATATATAAGCTAGATAAGGCTCGATGAATTTTTAAGCTAAATATTATTAGATTTGAACTTGATTGGAGCCCGAACTTTTTTTGAGCTCGGCTCAATTCATTCACACTCCTCGTAAGAAGCATTGACGCAAGACAGAGTTAACTAGGGCACCACATCCATAATCTATTCCACTACATTTAATGATCTGTTTAAGGATCTGTTTAGAGTTAGCCCTCCTTGTCATGGATGAACTAACAATGCATAAAACATATTCAAGAGAATTTCATCTTGACTCGTACCATTTGTTCATGGATGTAATTTTCATAGGCAAGATCGATCCGACTCAAACCGAGTAAAGGGGCAACTTGGAACCTTGCAGTTTCTAGATTCAATTGGAAGTCATTAACACCTTGCAATCTACGTAATAGCTGCGAGGCATGTCTCTTTTATTCAAAATTACCAACATCCCCTGTTTTCAATTGTGCATGGATGACTAAAGATTCATACATACACTGAAACTGCTAAACTTATATACACCATCTAATACTTTGACGAGATGATTAAGGTACTTTATCAAGAAACCATCGGGATCCTGTTTTTAGCTCCATCTTCAGCACCCACCACTCGAAGGCTCAATCGAACTCAAGAGCCCATTACCCCTCAGCTGCATGCAATGCTCTTCTGCATCAGCCTGAGTGCAAATAATAACCACTGACAAGCCGTTGTAATGTGCTTCTTGCATTATATTAACTGCATTATCAACTGTCATTCCCGGGATAACTTTCATAAGTACTTGAACAACATATTCCCTTTTATTGTAATTGTCATTGTGTAGTATCACACGATAAGGTGGTGCCATTTTCCTTTTTTTCCTGGGAAAGAAATGCAAAGAATAATAAAATTAGAAACTCACAAGTCATTTTATGCAGTGAACGGAGAAAATCAAAATACATTATAAAACAAGAAGCCAATTGCATTTGCATGGGTATCAGTTAGTTTACTAGGTGAACTCACTTTGTTAATTCAAGTGGCAGGTTGAATTTATTCCATTGGAGTTGCCAAGTCATTATATTAGCAGAAAAGGCTGAAACTAGAAATGTTGCATTCAAGAAGAAAAATATTTTTCAGAGAACAAGAAAAGTACTGATTTATTGTTTCACTTGAGATGATTTGTGGAGACGCAAATCACCTGAAAGGTAAAACCCTACAAGCTTTCTTTTTCTGTTTTTAATCCTAAATTTGGCTCTAAAAGCAAAATTTCATCCTCATTTCTTATTATCAGATGCCCAATTATCATCTCCTCATATTTACACAACACTGTCTCCTTAAAATAGATCTCAAAAACATAATATAGGATCAATAGATTTATGAAAATAATGTAGTCCCGTCCCCTCCTTAAAAAAAAAAAAAAAAAAGCAGACAAAATAATGTAGTCCCGTCCCCTCTTAAAAAAAAAAAAAAAAAAAAGCAGACAGTGTCCTCTTTAAAAAAAAAAAAAAAAAGCAGACAGTTGGAGATATTCTAATACTTGGAAATGCACATTGAACATGAGGAAAGGTAAGATGCAAAAAGAGTTGTCTTCGTACCTCAGATCAAACTCAGATTCACGACCAGGAGTGGTTTTCTCTATAATTGGTCTCTCCAACAGCCCGCCTCCTTTACCTGATCCTGTTGCTGATAGAGCCATGAGAATCCCACGGTTGATCCATGTTCCTCTACAAAGAGAATGTTTGTCTCCTGAAGCAATAGTCAGCAAACTATAAGCACAACCAAAATCATCGAAGAGAATATGTAAGCCCCTGTTTGGATTATATTACACATAAGAATTCTATCATTAATTGAATTGGACTCTTTTAATATTTTTTCCCACAGACCCTACATGGAATTTATACTAGAACCTGCACAGAATTGACCACCCACCAAATGACTCTCTACAGGTTCTCAACACATAATTACGAACTAGAAGCCAGTCAAAGGTACCATAGTCCATATATATAACACATAAAACATAAAGCACAAAAAAGAATCAAAGCATTATTCATCAAAGTAGAAAAAGAAAGGAAAAGAAAGAAGAGATTCCATTTTATTATATTTATTTAACGTTCAAAGATAATTTGGATAAATATAAAAACTAACGCAAAAACAAACCAACAACAGAGAAAAAATACACAGAATTTAAGGAATTGGTTCCTAAAAAAATTTATTTGCCTTCAACTTAAAAACTGCAAATTAATAAACTTTTGCATAAACCCATAATTATTTCAGGATTTTAGGAGTGAGAGACAAAGGAGGAAAATTTGAAATGCCAGAGAATTAAAATTGCAACAAGTTCAACATGGTTAGTAAAACGAAATACCAAATTACAACAATCGGAGCTTAGAATCGGAAATATTTAGCTGATTAATTACTGTATACAAGTCCAAAAATGGAAGTTATTAAGGTTCGAAAGGAGGTTATAATCGAATTACAGTAGGGAGAAACGAATTAGAGGGAAAAAAAAAAATCAAATTCTGCAAATTAAATGAAGTAAGTAGTGAAATAAAGGGATAACTAAAGGGAAAAGGAGTACCCGATTTAGGGCTAAAGACTTGATTAGGTGAGAGAGCTATTCTCCCACAAATCGCAGTGTCCATGTCTCCCTCTGTTTCTCCCTTCTTTCTCTGTCTCAAATGAGAAAGAGAAATGGCTATTGTTATTATTTATTGATTAATTATTTTTTTTCCAAATATTTGGGTTAAATTATTTTATTTTTTCATTTTTTAAAGGGCAATAAAAAAATGGTGGTTTGAGTGGTGCTGGTGGAGTGGTGGAGAGACGGTGAAGCAAAAAGGACGTCGTTTTTCAACCTCGCAAATGAAAATATCTTAAAACGACACGTTTTACGAATTGGTGGCTGTTAACTTGTATGATTAGCAAGAGCTGAAAAGGCCAAATTTGGGTTTTATAGAAATTTATTTTCGTCTGCGTCTCTCTTTCTGCTACATTCTTCCATAATCATTAATCATGTTTTATTTTTTTTTTTTGGGAAAATTCATTAATCATGTTGTAGATAATGTACATAGCAATTTCATCGGATTTTCTTTTCTATTAAGGCTCTCATTTATGATTTCAACTACTTCCTCTAATCTTTTTATTTTCTCTCCATTCATTTTCTCTTTAAGCAAATTATATATTTTTCAATTATATCCAAAGAGTTAAATAGAAAATTTCATTCCATAATATTGTTATTGTTTCCATTATTAACCTTTCTAAAATTTGATATCAAAGTTTTTACTATATGTAAATCGATGTTAGAGAATATTTTAGTATTATAAATTGAAATTTAAACATGATAAGTTGAATTACGATGAATAAAATTAAGTCTTCATAGAGAAACTGAGAATATATTATTAATAGTAAAAAAATGTTAATTAAACTCATTTTCAAAGTTAAAAGGGTTCAATAGTATAAAAATTGTGGAATTATTTATTTATTTTCAATTAATTTTACACTCCTTTTACGTAAAATCCTCATTACATAGACTAATATATAGATTTTTTGTTATGAATATTATTCTCAACTATACAAAATACTCCAAGATCTTACCAAATGGCAAAGAAGAAAGAGGAAAGGATCAAATGCACTTCATTAAAATAAGCATAACATAAACATTTTTAAGAAAATAAAAGAGTCTTGCAACTCAATCACATTAACTAATTATTTATGTATAGAATTTATAAGTAGACGCATCAGTCACAATATTCCGTAACCCACCAATGGTAGATGCCATCATAATGAAAACTCCAATAAATATGGAACCCTGACCATATAAAAAATAAATAAATAAATAGATAAAAATTAAAATTGCCATTAATATTTTAAAAAATTTTAAAATAAACATAGATTTGCAATGTATATTGTTACCCAATTGATAAACCATTTGGTGCTGAATCTCTTAGGTTTCTTGATTATTAGCCACATGATGCTAGGAAGCTGCAATACATACAGAATATTAATATTAATATTAATTCCTTCAACACTTAATTATATTTTATATGAACTAAAGTTAGAAAGAAAGAGAGGATTACAAAATAAGAAGTGGGAGCAAAACCAAATCCGCCAAAGAAACCAAGAAGATCTCCAAAAAATGGGAAGGTGACTCCAATGAATAGTGTAAATGCTGCAATATTTCAATGGCATAGAAATCAAAATAAGTTTATATTTTCTTATTTCTTGTTTTGTTATTAAAATTTTGCATGACATCCATCTCGCAATAAAAGAGAAGATAACTATATTAAGCATAGCAGCAAAGCAAGTCAGCAACTAGCAGACGACTCACCTACATAAGCAGATCGAGTGATGAGTCTAAGTACTAGTCCTGGTGGGAAGTTTAATCTTTTAATCATCATATTCTCCAGCAATGCAAAAACAGGCATAGCAAATACCTGCAAATACTTCTTGTCATGTCTAGCAGCAAGTGTGGTTATTAAATATAGGGAAATTTAATTGAATATATATATATATATATATATATTCTTAGCAGCAAGTGTGGTTATTAAATATAGGGAAATTTATTGAATATTATATATATTATATATATATATAATATATATATATATATATATATATATAATGACGTAATGCATAAATTTGACTCTAAACTTTAGCCAATTATCATTGTGGTCTTTTAAATTTTGCGAGCTAGAGTTCAATCATAATCCTATACTTTCACATTTCAATAATAATTACGTCTTTTGTCAAAATAAAATATCTTTGCAGTGGTTCAATTATAACTTACACTTCCGCGTTTTTTTATTTTAGCAAATAATATAATTATTATTGAAATGTGAAAATGCAGGGTCATGATAGATTCTCTGTAAAGTTTAGGGCGCTACAAAGATAACTGCAGAAATTATAAGGCCAAATTTATGCATCAGTCCATATATAAATACCTGGTAGCTACCAATGACATGAACAACCACCATTAAATTAGCAGAAGCAATGAGCCAAGCAGGTCTTTTAAGTGCCATAAGCACATTATCATCAACATCTTGTCCAAAAGCCCAGTAGCCAATAAGAGCAACAGGGAAATAGCAAATAGCATTTATAAAATAACCACCAATTGCACCTTTCCACATGGGTATTTTTGAAGGTTTTTCAGGAGTTGATGGCATTGTAGCCTGAATTTCTAGCACCACTGCATGCCCAGCAAATGCAAATGAAATCTGACCCAATGCGTTGAACACTCTGAACATGTAGTCTGCTTGGCTCGTGTGTTTATATGCATAGCTCACATTATCTATCTGACCATGAGCCAAGGATCCTGCCCATGCTATGGTTGAATAACTGCATATGACCATTTCAATTAACTGGTTATTAATTCGCAATTAACTAGTAAAAACGCTAAATGCTAACTTTTTATAATTTCGGTAACACGACGTTTGAACTAGTTTTTAGAGGCTATAGCATTTTATAACAAGTTAACTTCTGTAATGTTTAGTTTTATGCTATTGACTACTAAAACAGCTAATTTTGCTGAATAGATCCTACATAAATGAATTCTGAAACGCGTTCCTCGACACTCAGGTGAGTCACTTCAAAAAAAATCAAAATATAATCATACAGAATTAAAATTTTTTCCATACCAACACAATAGTAGAAAATATAAAAAAATAAAATACTATTTATATAATCAGACCAATTAGGAATTAAGAAATTCATAAGAAGAAATTTCTTTTTGATTTGAACTCGGAGAAATTGAATCTTGATTGATAAAATTAAGAAGAAACTCAAGTCAATTTTTCAAGTCAGAGTGACAGTAGCTTTTGTTCATACTCATAATAAATAACAACAATCTAGTACTTTTAATAAGATCAACTTGTATGTGAACTGTGAAGCATAATTCAAAATTGAAAATAACAATAAGAATAATTTAAGTACCTGAGTGACATGATTGCAGCTGCTAATGAAACACCAGCAACAGAATTGAAATTAGGAAGCTGAGACAAGAAGAAATGGATGCCACCAAACATCAAAATCCAATAAGATTGTCTAATAGGTGTGCAAGTAGTGCAGGCCATTTCCATGAACTTCTTTAGACATTTCCCTCCAGTGACCATGTAAACAATATCACACCCAACTTGAACAATCAATTGCTGAGGCAGAACAATCCATGGACCTAGTTTTGGTCCAAAAGCATGTCTTCCAAGGTCCAGATAGCGATCAAAACGAGTCCCAGGAACACATTCATGGAGCTGTGTCATTTCCCACATTGTGTTCAAGGTCATGGCCCATGATAACGCTAGAACAAATATCCCTGGACCCCTGTAAAAAATAAAACAAGGCATAGTTAGTTGCTATTGCTATATCAAACAAACATTTTTTCGTATATATGGCATTTGTCTAAAGTTGAGCTGCAGAGTAAGATTTACATACCAGCCCAAGTAAGCCATGGCATAGGGCAGGCTTAGAACACCTGCACCTATCATGGCTGTGACAATATGGAAAGTTGAATACCACCATTTGGCTCTGCGAGAGGGATCGTCCTCCCTCCATTTCTCAGTTGACTGATCTTCCTGTTTGAGTGTTAAAAAAAGAAAGATAGAAAAAGAACAATAGTTCAGACATTTTGTCAAAGAAAAAGAAAAATTACTGTACAATTGTCATTTGATTACTAGTCTCAGAAGTCCACGAAGTTAAACTGATAATTCTCTTTAAAAATTTTTACCTTGCATAAAAAAAAAAGAACCATTTTTGATGGGTATTAGTTAGGGGAACTAAACAGAGGATATATGATCATAGACTCACCTTGGAAGGGGGAGGAGAAGTTGAAACCATTTTTAGTAACCAAAGATGTAGTAGTTAATAGTACTCTTTGTCTCTTGCAGAGCTTCTCAATGTTGTAGCTGAGTGATGATCATGATATTAAGTAGTATACAAACTATAAAGTTATAAAGATAAGAAGAGGAGTTTACTTAGGTTTCAGTCTTGATGCTCCCTCTATATCTTTTTGGTCCTAGCTTAGAAAAGGGAGAGAGGCAATTTGAAACGGAGAATTTCTTTTGCATAATTAATGGGTTTCTGGCATTCAATATTAACAAACAGTTAATATTTTCTTTGTTTAAAATATCGATGATAAAAATCAGTAGTAAACAAACAGAATTACCCTAATTAGTCAAATGAGAATATTTTCTTTGTTTAAAACAATGATCTATTTATTGTGTTATTTAAATATTCTTGATTAATGGTTAATAGTACAATTGCTAAATGGATGGAAATTCATCCGAAGGCTTCTCTTGACATTCGTTAAGATTAAGATTTCTCGTTAGACGATTTTAAATTTTTTCATATTAGCATGAGACATTCAAAAATATTATTTCTAATAACTCTAAAATGTTTTCCGAACAAAACTAAACTCTGATCATCCAAAGCCAAGAATTTCTGTACTCATTAACAGAATAAACCTCATTAGATATTCATTTTTGACTTCTTAATTAAGCATTTATAGAGAATTGTGTTATGAATACAGGTTAATGGGTAAAAATGAAAGTTTTCCTTCCTCATCAATAACATTATAGCATCATTAAGCTGAGAATATATCCTTTAACTTTCCTAGAGAAAAAAATAATAATTAATCTCTATGCATTTAAGTTGACCAAAAAATAATAATTAATCATAATAATGATCAAGAAAGAGAGTTATGAATATAGACCAATTATAAGAATGTATTCATGGGAATTTCCTCTTTGAATAAAAAGAACCCATTCTTTCTTTTCTTTTCATCGATCAAGAACAGAAATTCGAGATATAAGACCAATTATAAGAAATTGTATTCATGGGAATTTTCCTCTATTGAATAAAAGAAGAACCCATTCTTTCTTTTCTTTTTCTTTTTTTCTTATCTTTTGAACCGAAAAAAGAACACCATTCCTGTGTTATAACCATACACGAATTAGGTATTGCAGGCATGGAATTAGAGGACATTCCTGTACGTTTTGATTTCGACCTCATGGAATTTGTATTGTATGCGGAATAAATGTGTTTGTGATCATAGGTGTCAACAGAGTTGAGTTACGTTGATTATGAGAAAGATCTTATCAATTTTGTACATGATCTTTAAAGCTATAATATGCTATAGCTTATGATGTATACCGCGAATGTCACAGAACCATTGATTAAAGATCAAAGATGGTATATCGTGATAATATCAATTCTAAGAAGTTTTGAAAAGTGCCATAAGTCAAACCTAACCTTTCTCCTGTGCAAATTTGGTCAATTTAACCCTTGAGAATATACATATCATAAATAAGCTCTGGTATCCCCACTAACACAGTTCTCATTGATTGAGGGTCGCGAAAGACTAGAACTGAGTTAGCACTTGTACTACCACATTCCACTCTGTATTGACGCGATTTCGCTCTAAGGAAATAAGATTGACACCATTTCTTGTGATTTCATATTTAATAAGACAACTTTTATAAAATGGTTCATTATGGGCGACGCAAATTACTAATCCAATTGTGATGATTAATTTACTTCCATCAAAATATCATAATATATAGTTTTGGATTTCTGTATCACTGGAAGTAGTATCGGTTTATTCGCCAATCTAAATAGCATTGAGATAAGTTGTTTCTCTGGATAACTTCTTTAATCAGACGAGTTTCTTATAATATGAACCATAACTTGTAAATGGACTTTACTAGTCCCTCCATAGATAGAATAATAATATTCGCTATCAGACACTTTAATGTCTTCTCTTAATAGCACAACTTCGATCTGGATTAAGTTGACCAAAAAATAATAATTAATCATAATAATGATCAAGAAAGAGAGTTATGAATATAGACCAATTATAAGAATGTATTCATGGGAATTTCCTCTTTGAATAAAAAGAACCCATTCTTTCTTTTCTTTTCTTTTTTTTTTTCTTTGAACCGAAAAAAAGAACACATTCTTATTCGTAGGATTGCGGAAATTGTAGAATTGTAGCCAATGATGGGAAGTTTTTGTTGGTTGGTACCGATTTGAATCATTACACTGATAACATTAGCTTTATGAAGTGCCAGACCATGATTAAAGACAAATGGTTCGTATCATTCTAAAGTGAAGTGCAAGTCATATTCCTCTCCTGTGTGTTATGATCATCAAAGCGTCCCCATCAACTTTGGAGGCCGAAAGATGACTGATTAGCACTTTCTACCACTCCACTATACCATTTCCAAGGAAAAAGATACACCATTTCTGTTTTCTTTAAAATTTAATAATGTCAATGGCACCTAATTTACTTCCATGTATAAATTACTTCCATAATATCATTATATTTGATATCATTAGAAGTATCGTTTCAATCTAATGCATTGAGATGAGTTGTTCGATACTTTTTATCTTATATGAAATCGATGATTTAATCCTCATAGATAGAATAAATATTCGCTACAGACACTTTATGCTTTAATAGACCGATCTAGTGCGAATATAATTTAGTTTAAATCTAATTGACTGAACTCTTTTTTCTTTTGTTAGATGGAAAAATCTCATTCATTAATTGGATGAACAACCCTTAAGTAGTTCTTTATATTTAGATTTCAAACTCATTATATATAAAATTCACTTCGAAATATATATCACTAATCTAACCATCTTTATTTGAAAAATTTTTATTTATAATAAATCTTATATCTTACATTCATTTATATTCTATTGATCATCAATATGAAAATAGAGAGTTTGAATAAACGAATCTTTAATGAATTTAATCGGTTTGTGAGATTTATCTAATGTTTAACATTTCTTTTGTTAGTTTTGATTTTGAACGTTTAAAATTAATTTTGAAGGTCAAAGATGATTCCAATACAACTAAGCCAAATCTTAGTTGCGTAAGAATCATATTTTAACATTAGTTATTATCACTTAAGCATAATTAGTTAGGGGATTGAAAGTTTAAAACTGTAACCTGGTGGGCATTCATAGGAATCATGTGTAAACAGGGTCCACCTTTGTACTCCAACCTAGAAACTCCCATTTATTTATTTTTTTTCTTGCAGCAGCCTTAATTATGATGTCATGATGATGATTGTCTTTTACAGGAGCTTTGGAGTCACTATCCCAACAAATTCTTGCAACTTAGAATCATAGCTGATAGACTAGAGGTGTTACTTTGTTGGAGTAGAATGAAAATGATTTTTCATCTTCCAAACCTCTAAATGCAAATGCTTTTAGAAAACCATAAAGGATAAAAGTTCTCATATATCTGCTTCGCCCTGTTCTGCAATTTAATTGATATAATAACTATTACTGACTAATTATTTAAGTAGCGATTAAGAATAAAAATATTCGGTAAAAATAACTGTTTAATATAAAGCGACAAAAAATAACATGAATATATATTATAACAGTGAAAAACAAAGTAAAGACAAGTAATCTGCATAAACATCATCATACAAAATTTATAAAACACTATACGTTAGGAGGATAATATTTCGTAAACACTGCCTCAAATTTTAAACGTTATAATAAATGTTATATTACCGAATGTCATAATTAATTAAATCATCCACACAAAATGCCAAACGTTGTTGCCGAACATGACATTCACAAGGAAAAAACCTTTAATTTAAGTTAAACCCTATCTCTCGTCAGCTACAACATCTGCTGGTGATGCTGTTGTTGCATTTGTTGCTGTTGCTGCTGCTGACTGGGTATTTGAGGCTTAAAACACTACCATATCCTGGATTTATGCAAACATTCAGGTTAATTAAAATGGCTGATTCACTGACTGGATGTTTTACAGGCTCAAAAACTTGCTTATAATAAAGATGAAACGCATTGAAAAAGGTAAAACTGAGACAAAAAAATTCCTACGGTGCATAAATTGAGCGAAGTGAAGAAAATTTTACCCCAGGAAAAAGCATCCCTATCAAGCGGCAAGCGTTGTCCGAAACAGAAAGCAGCAATGTCTGTGATGGCAACTGGATGACTGCACACTAGGGAAATTACAAATGATGTTCAAAGTCAGATAAGTCCACCCAATAATATATATAAGTTTAGGATTTTGCAATCAATAGGAAATACTCTTGAAGTAACTAAAACTAGAAACAAAAGAAATTCATGAAACCGCTAGTAGAACTTATTTGAAACTTTACACAAAATTATCAAAGCCAATTATGGCTGCTTCCACAGCGAGTAAAACTCAAGTTGTAACATTGTAGGAACTATAGCAGAAGTTTAATGGTTAACCGTCTGATAGTCAAACTTTGGCTAAAACTGCAGAAACAACTAATTTTGATCACCATTTCCATACTTAGTTGCATCATTATCAAAATCAATAAGACACCCAGAGGGAATTGCCTGCACCTCATAATGGAACTTGTGGCTACAAATAGTTATTCTCAGAGGTTTTGACCAATTGCAATTGTGATGATTAACCTAGATTATTTCAATACTAAATTAATTGCGGAACTAATAGCATATTACAAGAACAAATTAGATCTTCTCATACAACTCTGTTGACTTGATAAGCATATTTACACCAGAGTGATAAAGGAACAGGATGTCTCTACCAGTGTTACCTGATTTGTGGTTCACCATGGTAAATGGTACGGGGCATGGCACTTAGTAAATTCGTTATATGGAGGGATAAACTTAGTCAATACACTATATGGGGCCGCAGTATGGTACAAGACTTAGTTGATTTTGCATTGCATTATATGCATGAGAAATAATATAATTCAAAACAGATATTTTATTAGGTTTAAAGTAACTCAAAATATATATGTAGATTCAAATAAAAAAATAAAAAGAAATAATAATTCTAATTATATGATCTAAATTTTCATAAAAGATTTAAATCCAGTTCACAATCCAAAATTCCAAATTAAAAGCCTACAAAATAAATGCAAGTCCAAGAAAAACATAGAAATTTAAATTGTACGATTCTAACAATTAATTAATCCACTATTTTCAGGTTTTTAAATTTTAATATATTCAGGTACTTTACTATTTACTAAATTTAAAATCCTATTATAGGCTGACCGCTAATAGCTAGAAGACCCTAAGTATCCTATTTGATCAAAACAACTTATTTTTCTCGTTTTGTTCACTTCTTGTCCTTCCCAATGCTGCCGTTCTTCTCCCTTTTCTGTGTTTTATTTGATTTGCAGCTTCTTTCTCCTTTATATAACCGATTGATTGGATTCGTTAACATTGGTGTTTGGAAATGCGTATGTATTGCATTTGGGTACGACATTTGGGAAACATAGAACAAAGGTGTACCCCATGTTTTAGGTAACACTGGTCTTTACACCCCAAAAAGACTTGGTTTGTTCCAAGCATTCTCGCTCAAGTAGAATTTAAAAATCTAATCTGGTTAGAATACCTAGTAAAAATAAGAACAAAATTGTGCAACTATCAGTGGGAGACATCAGACCATGCCTTTGCATAACTACTACTCTTGATCATCCCTAGACATGCACATTGGCTAGCTCAAACTTGGACCCAGGTTTACATAAATCACAGCCAAGCCCTCCAAATAGCCAAGCATAGCTGGGTTAGGCTTGGGCTCCATCTTATTATATACTATAATTTGTTCATGTTGGTATTAAATTGTGCAATTTTTATTTTTATTTTTTAAAAAGATATTTATATAAAAAGGCATTATATATATATTCGACTCCAGGCAAGGTCTAGTTGTGGGAAGTTCATGATACAAAGTCCATACCCAAAGAACAAAATGGTAGGCTTTGAGCAGATTGGCAATTGGAAAAAATTCTTGTCCAAGCCTCATTATTTTGTTAGTCACAGCAGACAAGTTCCTAGAACCATGACCACCACTCTTCATCTCCACATAAGACAATATAAGCCGAAGTACTTATGTGAGTGCTTTCAAAGAGAAATAACAAAGAGGAGAAAAAGAAGGCCGACGAAAGCAGTACAGGTCATTGGAACAGTTGCCTGGGACATGAAATTAAAAAATTTGGATCCCTTCATTGACTGAATATGTGAAATCTAGCAAAGCCTATTCCTCAATGCGATGCTCCACCAATCTACTTAATTGAAACACTTATGATGCACGAAAACTCCTGGCCCTATTCCTCAATGCGATGCTCCACCAATCTACTTATGTTTAACACTTATGATGCACGAAAACTCCTGGCCATGGGTGTTTCTGTATTTTGGAAACATTTTGCATGTCCGTTTCCCGGTATAAAATATTGTTTCCATGTGAAAATTATATTTTAAATGTTGTTTCCCAATATCGTTTTCACATTTCTTCATTTCCGTTTCTGTGCAACATATGTAACACTAATATCACACAAAAAGTACTTATTGTTTGTGATGCTATCCTTCACTAAACTATAAGTGACTTTTGAAGAATTGTAAGAATGTTATATTTGCAAATCCATTCATAAAAATCAAATAGTTAATGATGACCATAGAATGCAAAATTGAATGATGGCATGAAACAATATTTTTTTTGAAAAAATGCAAATATCAGATTCAAAGAAATTAATTACTGCTTAGCTCCAGGAGAGTAACAAGCAATCTAAGCATTTGGGCAACTTACAAGCTTCTTTTCTTGCAGTTGGCCAAGAAATCCATGCTGATCCATTGCCCGAAATACTAGAAAATCTGCCTTCCCAACATACTGCCTATATCAAAATAAAAGCAAATTGGGAAGGATCAGAAATATGACAAACAATAGACATGCCACTGAATAAATAATGCAAGATAGACAAGAATAAATTTTTCCGAACAGTGCTTACTTGTTATTCATGTGGTCCTGAGAAATGAGCCGAACTATTTGCATTGTTGGTGGCCAGTTTGCTGCAAGCCTGAGAAGGGCACGAGAGAACTCATCAACCGTTTGATTTATTCTCGATGCACGGAAATAGTTTGCCTTTTGCATTGAAATAGTTTGCCTTTTGCATTCACTTGCCACAAAGAACCAAAACAGTTTAACCAGAATCCACGTCAAGGGGGACACAAACATAATACAGAAAGAACCTGGCAACTCTTTTTCATTATGGCACTTGGAAAGATGGGTGCATGGTGTACAAGATACATGATACACTTTATTCAGGTCACCGTGTCTAATCATTACAACAATAACAATAAAGGTGATTTTCACCATGTGATCCTTAATGTATCTCCCATCTTCTTCACACCATAGATTTGTGCATCTACCAATCCATATTGGATACAGACTATGTTAATTGTCTCTTGCAGAAGTCATCCTCAGTGGTTGGGTTTCCACCTCCCCACAAGTGCAATATTTTTCCACATACGCATCTTAGCACATTAAATTTCGCCATGCTCATTCCATGGACATGTTTCTTTACAACCCAACATTCATCGTGATGCAACATAACTAATCCAATCATAGTCTTATAGAACTTCCCTTTTCAACTTCAAGGTGAATTTAGTATCATGAAAAACACCCATTGCAGAATTGACAAATTATTAAGGGGGTCCATTAAGCAATGGAATGAAAGAATCATGAAAAACACCCATTGCAGAATTGACAAATTATTAAGGGGGTCCATTAAGCAATGGAATGAAAGATTGTATAAGAATGACATACCAGCAATATACCATCCCAACTTAAGCTACAGAAAATGGATTACGAGAACTCCAATGTTTCTTAACCAGAGAAAATAGTACATCCATTATGTTCCTAGCTATCTGCATAGTTCTACATAATTGACAATAAACAACTAGGAATCATTAATAGGACTATAAAGTTTATACAAATAACTATTGGTAAACAGAAGCTTAATCTAAAAAAGAATTTGATTTTATTTTGTTTACCACATAATTTCATTCTAGCAACATTAATAGATAGAACCTGATCTATTACATTTTAAAAGTCTACATTACAGATGAACCTTGGATTCAGGGTATTTTCAAACCTAAAGCCAGCGAAGGTGCACTCATGCAAACATGATTGCTTGAGACAACACATTCATAAAACCTACATCATCAAGACTCTTCTTTTAATCTTGAATTACTAGTGTCTAAAACTTGCATATGGAAAAGGGAAAGGATGCTGGACACTTCTGAGTCCTAAATGTTACAAAATATTCCCCAAACAGAGTCTGATGCTTGGACAGCTAACCATATTCAGCACCTTGCCTAATGGTCCAAGAAATATAACATAAAACCCAAATTCCACATCAAATAATTTCCCTGCTAATTTCTTAATCCTACAGCTGCTTCAAGTATAGTCCTTTTCACAGTGATAAGACAAATAAGTAGTTCCTAACTCACAAGGGAGCAAATAAGACAAAACAGAATAAAAAACTTTGATATATGTGTTTTTGTAGTCAGTCAAAGATAACTTGTACATATAGATCTCAATTATTAACATTGAAAAATTTGGGCTGTAACAGAATCTTAAGCACAAAATTTCCGCAAAGGTTATTTTCTATAGATGTTATTCTATAATCCTAAAAACTTACGATTCAGAAGCTGAAGCATTCCTATAACCCTGCAACAAATAAATAAGGAGTAAGGTTCATGTGTAGAGAAAAAAAGAATGCCGACGTACATGGAACAGTAATTTTGAGAAGTAGACATGAAGCAGTATGCAATAAGTATAATCATGATGGCATATTTGCATGAATGTTTTCAGGAGTTTAACATACTTCCAATCTGGTGATAAAGACAGGTTGCCCTTGACGTTGCCCAGACCAATTTCCCTGCAGTCATTTTCAATGATCGAAAAGAATTATTTCACAATTACAACGCGTGCAGTAATGAAGAGGTTATTAGTTTTAAACTCTTGACCAACAACTGATGAAAACTTTTAAACAGGAAGTTACAATCGATAATTCCAATGACATCTCATGTAAAAAGGCTATTGACTATTAATCAATAGAAGACAAATCTACCAGATAGTGGATACAGTTTAGACATTCTCAAATTGGCCCACTGCATTTTAGGTCCTTACCTTTTCCTAGCCAAGGGGAATTGTTGAGGCACTACTATCAAGGAAACAGATATTCTGATTAGTTTCCTACTTGGCAAAAATTAATGAGTAACATAACCCATAACAAACTACCAAGTGCCTCTGCAATTAATTGGAGCACACTGGGGAAGGGAAAAGCTAAGGTTGTGTAAGCATGCTCTTAACTTGATGAAGTTATTTTAAGCAGTGCCCTGGCAAACATTTTTCTACTAGCTTTAGGGTATCAAGTTCAAGGGAATTATGCTCATCTTAAACGAGAAGAAGGGAAAAGCTAAGGTTGTGTAAGCATGCTCTTAACTTGATGAAGTTATTTTAAGCAGTGCCCTGGCAAACATTTTTCTACTAGCTTTAGGGTATCAAGTTCAAGGGAATTATGCTCATCTTAAACGACACAATTTGTTCTTTTTGGCTGATATGGGACAAAGGAGGATTGAGGATTCTAAGTTTTTCTCTCCTTATATGGAAAATATATAATTCCTTAGCCATTTTATTAGGTGGTTTGGCGCGTGCACACGATTATATTGAACCTTTAGCTTCCATATTCTTCAAATCCCTCTATATTTCAAGAAGTTATTTCTTTCTAGCAGTAAGGACTTTTGACTTTGAGGATAGAAAGTTAAAACATTGCAATCAGAAGTTCGCAAATCTATCTTAAATCTTTAACAAAACTCTGACTTACTTCCCAGACTTTGACATATTTGGATTGTGCGGATTGCAAAGCCCTCGTTGTTTGCTGTGACAATGGCATATTAGCTGCTGAGTTGTTATTCACACCAAGCGATTGCAGTCCTGTTTCATAAATAAGAAGTGAATATAATAGCATCATTATTTGCAATGCTAGGGCACCGTTTGTCCCCTCCTCTCTTTTCTCCTTTTAACGAGCCCCATTGTTCAGAGGCAGATAAACAATTTAGTTGTTGCTTTCATCTGTATGAGCATCTGTTATCACAGTGCCCCAAAATTATAAAACCTGAATCCTCAAATTTGCAGTCACATTAAATGTTAATCGAGCCAGAAGATATGGATGAACAAAGATAAGTCCAATTGAGATGCTGACAACAGTACAAAGGCTTTGATGTATATTGCAGAGTAAAGATTAACTAAAGAGAAAGATCAAGTAAAATTAGATTCTTAAAGATTAACTAAAGAGAAAGATCAAGTAGAGAAAGATCAAGTAAAATTAGATTCTTAAAGATTAACTAAAGAGAAAGATCAAGTAAAATTAGATTCTTACTGCACTGTAGATTGCTCTCAGTTTCAGAAGCTGTTCTGGACAAATGACAGATAGAGAAACAGAAGACTGCAATGCAAACTAGGGGTTAGCGACCAAATAACAAGCAACGTTCAAGAAAGAGAACAAGGAGATGTCAGTACTAGTAGATCAGCCAGGATTACAATATAAATAATAAAAAATAAAAAATGAAAAAAAATAAAAAAAATAAAAAGAGAAAAGAGGAAAGGGAGAGAGACAATTTGAAATGGAGAATCTTCTTTTGCATAATTAATGGGTTTCTGGCATTTAATATTAACAAACAGTTAATATTTTCTTTGTTTAAAATATCGATGATAAAAATCAGTAGTAACCTAACAGAATTACCCTAATTAGTCATTGTTTAGAACAATGATCTATTTATTGTGTTATTTAAATATTCTTTATTAATGGTTAATAGTTCAATTGCTAAATAGACGGAAATTCATCTGAAAGATTCTCTTGACATGCGTTAAGATTAAGATTTCTTATTGAACGATTTTAAATGTAAAATTTTTTCACATTAATTTGATACATTCAGAAAAATTATTTCTAATAACTCTAAAATATTTTCCAAACAGAACTAATCTCTGATCATCGAAAGCCAATAATTTCTGTCCTCATTAATAGAATAAATCTCCTTAGATGTTCATTTTTGACTTCTTAATTAAGCATGTATAGAGAATTGTGTTATGAATGCAGGTTAATAGGTAAAAATGAAAGTTTTCCTTCCTCATCAATAACATTAGAGCATCATTAAGCTGAGAATATATCCTTCAACTTTCCTAGAGAAAAAAATAATAATTAATCTCTATGCTTTTAAGTTGACCAAAAAATAATAATTAATCATAATAATGATCAAGAAAGAGAGTTATGAATATAGACCAATTATAAGAATGTATTCATGGGAATTTCCTCTTTGAATAAAAAGAACCCATTCTTTCTTTTCTTTTTTTTTTTTTTTTTTTTTTTCTTTGAACCGAAAAAAAAGAACACATTCTTATTCGTAGGATTGCGGAAATTGTAGAATTGAGCCAATGATGGGAAGTTTTTGTTGGTTGGTACTGATTTGAATCATTACACTGATAACATTAGCTTTATGAAGTGCCAGACCATGATTTAGCACTTTCTACTACCACTCCACTATACCATTTCCAAGGAAAAAGATACACCATTTCTATTTTCTCCAAAATTTAATAATGTCAATGGCACCTAATTTACTTCCGGTATGAATCACTTTCATGATATCATTATATTTGATATCGGTAGAAGTATCGTTTTAATCTATCGTATTAAGATGAGTTGTTGGATACTTTTTTTTTTTATATGAAATCGAGGATTTGATCCTCATAAATATAATAAATATTCGCTACAAACACTTTATGCTTTAATAGACCGATCCAGTGCGAATAATTTAGTTTAAATCTAATTGACTAAACTCTTTTTTCTTTTGTTAGACAAAAAAACCTCATTCATTAATTGGATGAACAACCCTTAAGCAGTTCTTTGTATTTAGATTTCAAACTCATTATATATATAAAATTCACTTCGAAATATATATCACTAATCTAACCATCATTATTTGAAAAATTTTTATTTATAATAAATTTTATATCTTAAATTCATTTATATTCTATGGAGCGTCAATATGAAGATAAAGAGTTTGAATAAACGAATCCTTTAATGAATTTAATCGTTTTGTGAGATTTATCTAATGTTCAACATTTCTTTTGTTAGTTTTGATTTTGAACGTTTAAAATTAATTTTGAAGGTCAAAGATGATTCCAATACAACTAAGCCAAATCTTAGTTGCGTAAGAATCATATTTTAACATTAGTTATTATCACTTAAGCATGATTAGTTATGGGATTAAAAGTTTAAAACTGTAACCTGGTGGGCATTCATAGGAATCACGTGTAAATAGGGTCCACCTTTGTACTCCAACCTAGAAACTCCCATTTTTTTTTTTTATAGGTCCACAAGTTTAAAACTGTAACCTGGTGGGCATTCATAGGAATCACGTGTAAATAGGGTCCACCTTTGTACTCCAACCTAGAAACTCCCATTTTTTTTTTTTTCTTGCAGCAGCCTTAATTATGATGTCATGATGATGATTGTCTTTTACAGGAGCTTTGGAGTCACTATCCCAACAAATTCTTGCCACTTAGAATCGTAGCCGATAGACTAGAGGTGTTACTTTGTTGGAGTAGAATGAAAATGATTTTTTATCTTCCAAACCTCTAAATGCAAATGCTTTTAGAAAACCATAAAGGATAAGAGTTCTCGATATCTGCTTCGGCCCTGTTCTGCAATTTAATTGTTATAATTGCTATCTAACTGATGTAAATATTAGCTATTAATGATTAGTTGTTTACATTGCGATTAAGAATAAAAGTGTTCCGTAAAAATACTGTTTAATATAAAACGACAAAAAATAACATAAACATATATTATAACAGCGAAGAACAAGGCAAAGACAAATGATAGGCATAAACATCTACCATACAAAATTTATAAAACACTACACTTTAGGAGGATAATGTTTCATAAACACTGCCTCAAACTTTAAACGTTATAATAAATTTTATACTGCTGAATGTCATAATTAATTAAATCATCCAGACAAAATGTGAAACGTTGTTGCCGAACATGACCTTCACGAGGAAAAAAACTTTAATTTAAGAAAAATCCTATCTCTCGTCGGCTACAATTCGAGTGAAGAATGTAATCATGTTTATCAACTATACATGATGCATAAGAGAGCAACTCCAAATTAAGTTGTAGGTTTCAATAGTATTAGCAGCAAAATGTAAACCACATAACCAAATAATAGGCTCTGAATGACCATGTTCACAAGGCATGTACTGATATATGGTCAAAGGGCTGGCTTAATTCAATAAGATACATATTTTTACATGTAAGCATATTTTAAGCTGCGGATAAAGCTACTAGTCCAAGAGGCCAAAAGGCGATATAATTGCTAATCTAGAATTTCTTTTTTCATCATTGCTATTTGTTTTTTTATTACAGTTGATGCATTCTGGTTCCACTCTAATTTATTGTTCTTACTAACCCATAAAGCCACCTCCGGGCAAGTTTGTCGGACCTTGTGATGAAACATGTCCCTGAGAAACTAACTGTGACCGACCTGGACCTTGAACATAAGCTTGAGCCATCCCTGTCCCGACCATTTGTTGTTGCTGCGGAAGTTGTTGTTGCTGCTGCTGCTGTAGTGGTGGAAGCTGCTGCTGTTGCTGCTGCTGAAGTTGCTGCTGTTGTTGAAGCTGAGAGAGTTGTTGCTGTTGCTGCAACTGACTGGGATGCTGCTGCTGATGTTGCATTTGTGGAAGCTGCTGCTGCTGCTGCAGCTGCGGAAGTTGCTGCTGCTGTTGAAGCTGCGGGTGCTGTTGTTGTTGTAGCTGTTGATGCTGCTGCGATTGCATCTGCTGGTGATGCTGTTGTTGCATTTGTTGCTGTTGCTGCTGTTGTTGCATTTGTTGCTGTTGCTGCTGCTGACTGGGTATTTGAGGCTTAAACACAACCATATCCTGCATTTATGCAAACATTCAGGTTAATTAAAATGGCTGATTCACTGACTGGATGTTTTAAAGGCTCAAAAACTTGCTTATAATAAAGATGAAACGCATTGAAAAAGGTAAAACTGAGACAAAAATAAATTCCTACAGTGCATAAATTGAGCAAAGTGAAGAAAATTTTACCCCAGGAAAAAGCATCCCTATCAAGCGGCAAGCTTTGTCCGAAACAGAAAGCAGCAACGTCTGTGATGGCAACTGGATGACTGCACACTAGGGAAATTACAAATGATGTTCAAAGTCAGATAAGTCCACCCAATAATATATATAAGTTTAGGATTTTGCAATCAATAGGAAATACTCTTGAAATAACTAAAACTAGAAACAAAAGAAATTCATGAAACCGCTAGTAGAACTTATTTGAAACTTCACACAAAATTATCAAAGCCAATTATGGCTGCTTCCACAGCGAGTAAAACTTAAGTTGTAACACTGTAGGGACAATAGCAGAAGTTTAATGGTTAACCGTCTGATAGTCAAACTTTGGCTAAAACTGCAGAAACAACTAATTTTGATCACCATTTCCGTACTTAGTTGCATGATTATCAAAATCAATAAGACACCCAGAGGGAATTGCCTGCACCTCATAATGGAACTTGTGGCTACAAATAGTTATTCTCAGAGGTTTTGACCAAAATTGCAATTGTGATGATTAACCTAAATTATTTCAATAGTAAATTAACTGCGGAACTAATAGCATATTACAAGAACAAATTAGATCTTCTAATACAACTCTGTTGACTAGATAAGCATATTTACACCAGAGTGATAAAGGAACAGGATGTCTCTACCAGTGTTACCTGATTTGTGGTTCACCATGGTAAATGGTACAGGGTATGGCACTTAGTAAATTCGTTATATGGAGGGATAAACTTACTACACTATATGGGGCCGCAGTATGGTACAAGACTTAGTTGATTTTGCATTGCATTATATGCATGAGAAATAATATAATTCAAAGCAGATATTTTATTAGGTTTAAACTAACTCAAAATATATATGTAGATTCAAATAAAAAAATAAAAAGAAATAATAACTCTAATTATATGGTCTAAATTTTCATAAAAGATTTAAACCCAGTTCACAATCCATAATTCCAAATTAAAAGCCTACAAAATAAAAGCAAGTCCAAGAAAAACATAGAAATTTAAATTGTACAATTCTAACAATTAATTAATCCACTATTTTCAGGTTTTTAAATTTTAATATATTAAGGTATTTTACTATTTAGTAAATTTAAAATCCTATTAATAGGCTGACCGCTAATAGCTAGAAGACCCCAAGTATCCTATTTGATTAAAACAACTTATTTGTCTCGTTTTGTTTACTTCTTCTCCTTCCCAATGCTGCCGTTCTTCTCCCTTTTCTGTGTTTTATTTGATTTGCAGCTTCTTTCTCCTTTATATAACCGATTGATTGGATTCGTTAACCTTGGTGTTTGGAAATGCGTATGTATTGCATTTGGTTACGACATTTGGGAAACATAGAACAAAGGTGTACCCCATGTTTTAGGTAACACGGGTCTTCAAACCCCAAAAAGACTTGGTTTGTTCCAAGCAACGTATTGCCATTTGGTTACGACATTTGGGACAACATAGAAACAAAGGTGTACCCCCTTGTTTTAGGTACACGGGTCTTTCAAAACCTCCAAAAAGACTTGGTTGTTCCAAGCATTTCTCGCTCAAGTAGAATTTAAAATCTAATTCTGGTTAGAATACCTATAAATAATAAGAACAAAATTTGTGCAAGCTATCAAGTGTGGAGACATCAGAACCATGCCTTTGCATAACTACTACTCTTGATCATCACTAGACATGGCACATTGGCTAGCTCAAACTGGACCCAGTTTACATAAATCACAGCCAAGCCCTCCAATATAGGCCAAGCAAAGCTGGGGTTAGGCTTGGGCTCCATCCTTATATATACTATAATTTGCTTTATTTTGGTATTAATTTGGTATTAAATTGTGCAATTTTTATTTTTATTTTTTAAAAAGATATTTATATAAAAAAGCATTATATATATATTCGACTCCAGGCAAGGTCTAGTTGTCGGAAGTTCATGATACAAAGTCCATACCCAAAGAACAAAATGGTAGGCTTTGAGCAGATTGGCAATTGGAAAAAATTCTTGTCCAAGCCTCATTATTTTGTTAGTCACAGCAGACAAGTTCCTAGAACCATGACCAGCACTCTTCATCTCCACATAAGAAAATATAAGCCAAAGTACTTATGTGAGTGCTTTCAAAGAGAAATAACAAAGAGGAGAAAAAGAAGGCGGACGAAAGCAGTACAGCTCATTGGAACAGTTGCCTGGGACATGAAATTAAAAAATTTGGATCCCTTCATTGACTGAATATGTGAAATCTAGCAAAGCCTATTCCTCAATGCGATGCTCCACCAATCTACTTATGTTTAACACTTATGATGCACGAAAACTCCTGGCCATGGGTGTTTCTGTATTTTGGAAACATTTTGCATGTCCGTTTCCCGGTATAAAATATTGTTTCCATGTGAAAATTATATTTTAAATGTTGTTTCCCAATATCGTTTTCACATTTCTTCATTTCCGTTTCTGTGCAACATATGTAACACTAATATCACACAAAAAGTACTTATTGTTTGTGATGCTATCCTTCACTAAACTATAAGTGACTTTTGAAGAATTGTAAGAATGTTATATTTGCAAATCCATTCATAAAAATCAAATAGTTAATGATGACCATAGAATGCAAAATTGAATGATGGCATGAAACAATATTTTTTTTGAAAAAATGCAAATATCAGATTCAAAGAAATTAATTACTGCTTAGCTCCAGGAGAGTAACAAGCAATCTAAGCATTTGGGCAACTTACAAGCTTCTTTTCTTGCAGTTGGCCAAGAAATCCACTTGCAGTTGGCCAAGAAATCCATGCTGATTCATTGCCCGAAATACTAGAAAATCTGCCTTCCCAACATACTGCCTATATCAAAATAAAAGAAAATTGGGAAGGATCAGAAATATGACAAATAATAGACATGCCACTGAATAAATAATGCAAGATAGACAAGAATAAATTTTTCCAAACAGTGCTTACTTGTTATTCATGTGGTCCTGAGAAATGAGCCGAACTATCTGCATTGTTGGTGGCCAGTTTGCTGCAAGCCTGACAAGGGCACGAGAGAACTCATCAACCGTTTGATTTATTCTCGATGCACGCCTTTTGCATTCACTTGCCACAAAGAACCAAAACAGTTTAACCAGAATCCACGTCAAGGGGGACACAAACATAATATTTTGCATTCACTTGCCACAAAGAACCAAAACAGTTTAACCAGAATCCACGTCAAGGGGGACACAAACATAATATAGAAAGAACCTGGCAACTCTTTTTCATTATGGCACTTGGAAAGATGAGTGCATGGTGTACAAGGATACATGATACACTTTATTCAGGTCACCGTGTCTAACCATTACAACAATAATAATCAAGGTGATTTTCACCATGTGATCCTAATGTATCTCCCATCTTCTTCACACCGTAGATTTGTGCATCTAGCAATCCATATTGGATACAGACTATGTTAATTATCTCTTGTAGAAGTCATCCTCAATGGCTGGGTTTCCACCTCCCCACAACTGCAATATATTTCCACATACGCATCTTAGCACATTCAATTTCGCCATGCTTATTCCATGGACATGTTTCTTTACAACCCAACATTCATCGTGATACAACATAACTAGTCCAATCAGAGTCTTATAGAACTTCCCTTTTCAACTTCAAGGTGAATTTAGTATCATGAAAAATACCCATTGTAGAATTGACAAATTATTAGGGGGTCCATTAAGCAATGGAATGAAAGATGGTATAAGAATGACATACCAGCAATATACCATCCCAACTTAAGCTACAGAAAATGGATTACGAGAACTCCAATATTTCTGAACCAGAGAAAATAGTACATCCATTAGGTTCCTAGCTATCTGCATAGTTCTACATAATTGACAATAAACAACTGGGAATCATTAATAAGACTATAAAGTTTATACAAATAACTATTGGTAAACAGAAGGTTAATCTAAAAAAGAATTTGATTTTATTTTGTTTACCACATAATTTCATTCTAGCAATATTAATAGATAGAACCTGATCTATTACATTTTAAAAGTCTACATTACAGATGAACCTTGGATTCAGGGTATTTTCAAACCTAAAGCCAGCGAAGGTGCACTCAATTCAGGGGGTATTTTCAAACCTAAAGCCAGCGAAGGTGCATCACCAAACCTAAAGCCAGCGAAGGTGCACTCACGCAAACATGATTGCTTGAGACAACACATTCATAAAACCTACATCACCAAGACTCTTCTTTTAATCTTGAATTACTAGTGTCTGAAACTTGCATATGGAAAAGGGAAAGGATGCTGGACACTTCTGAGTCCTAAATGTTACAAAATATTCCCCAAACAGAGTCTGATGCTTGGACAGCTAACCATATTCAGCACCTTGCCTAATGGTCCAAGAAATATAACATAAAACCCATATTCAACATCAAATAATTTCTCTACTAATTTCTTAATCTTACAGCTGCTTCAAGTATAGTTCTTTTCACAGTGATAAGACAAATAAGTAGTTCCTAACTCACAGGGGAGCAAATAAGACAAAACAGAATAAACAACTTTAATATACGTGTTTTTGTAGTCAATGAAAGATAACTTGCACATATTGATCTCAATTATTAACATTGAAAAATCTGAGCTGTAACAGAATCTTAAGAACAAAATTTCTACAAAGGTTATTTTCTATAGATGTTATTCTATAATCCTAAAAACTTACGATTCAGAAGCTGAAGCATTCCTATAACCCTGCAACAAAGAAATAAGGAGTAAGGTTCATGCATGGAGAAAAAAAGAATGCTGAAGTACATTAATTTTGAGAAGTAGACATGAAGCAGTATGCAATAAGTATAATCATGATGGCATATTTGCATGAATGTTTTCAGGAGTTTAACATACTTCCAATCTGGTGATAAAGACAGGTTGCCCTTGACGTTGTCCAGACAAATTTCCCTGCAGTCATTTTCAATGATCAAAAAGAATTATTTCACAATTACAACGGGTGCAGTAATGAAGAGGTTATTAGTTTTAAACTCTTGACCAACAACTGATGAAAACTTTTAAACAGGAAGTTACAATCGATAATTCCAATGACATCTCATGTAAAAAGGCTATTGACTATTAATCAATAGAAGACAAATCTACCAGATAGTGGATAGACATTCTCAAATTGGCCCACTGCATTTTAGGTCCTTACCTTTTCCTAGCCAAGGGGAATTGTTGAGGCACTACTATCAAGGAAACAGATATTCTGATTAGTTTCCTACTTGGCAAAAATTAATGAGTAATATAACCCATAACAAACTACCAAGTGCATCTGCAATTAATTGGAGCACACTGGGGAAGGGAAAAGCTAAGGTTGTGTAAGCATGGTCTTAACTCGATGAAGTTATTTTAAGCAGTGCCCTGGCAAACATTTTTCTACTAGCTTTAGGGTATCATGTTCAAGGGAATTATGCTCATCTTAAACGACACAATTTGTTCTTTTTGGCTGATATGGGACAAAGGAGGATTGAGGATTCTAAGTTTTTCTCTCCTTATATGGAAAATATATAATTCCTTAGCCATTTTATTAGGTGGTTTGGCGCGTAGCATGTCTCGCTCCTTCTCACTCTCACATATACTATATGAAACCAACTTTATATATTGTGCCAACGTGTGCCAGTGAACCTAGCCCAAGCGCGGTCTCCCGGTGTCGCTTGGCGGCCGGAGGAGCGCGGGACCCTCGATTTTCCATCAACCACAGATTATAGACTTTTAATGCTATGCGTCATTCATTAAGGGAAAAGCTAAGGTTGTGTAAGCATGGTCTTAACTCGATGAAGTTATTTTAAGCAGTGCCCTGGCAAACATTTTTCTACTAGCTTTAGGGTATCATGTTCAAGGGAATTATGCTCATCTTAAACGACACAATTTGTTCTTTTTGGCTGATATGGGACAAAGGAGGATTGAGGATTCTAAGTTTTTCTCTCCTTATATGGAAAATATATAATTCCTTAGCCATTTTATTAGGTGGTTTGGCGCATGCACACAATTATATTGAACTTTTAGCTTGCATATTCTTGAAATCCCTCTATATTTCAAGAAGTTATTTCTTTCTAGCAGTAAGGACTTTTGACTTTGAGGATAGAAAGTTAAAACATTGCAATCTGAAGTTCGCAAATCTATCTTAAATCTTTAACAAAACTCTGACTTACTTCCCAGACTTTGACATATTTGGATTGTGCTGATTGCAAAGCACTCGTTGTTTGCTGTGACAATGGCATATTAGCTGCTGAGTTGTTGTTCACACCAAGCGATTGCATTCCTGTTTGTGCTTGTTGCGGCATTCCGGGAGTTGGAATCATAGTGCTGGTTCCAGAGGAGACACCAGATGGACCAAGACCATTCATCACGTTCTGGTTCATGCCAATTACACTTTGTACCATTTGTCCTCCTGAGAGATTTCCTTGACTCATGCCTGACACAGATTGACCCATGCTAACACCTCCTTGAAGGTTAGCCATTGGCTGTGAAATCCCCAGATTTGAATTTCCAGATATGTTAGAAGTTGAAGAAGCAAATGAACCAAGACCAGAGTTTGGTGCAATTTGCGAAGTTCCTGTAAGAGTGCCTGATCCTGTCATTGAAGTAATACCAGGCTGTCCTGATGAGAAGACAGTTTGAGCAGCAGGCACAGAAGTTGCCATTCCACTGGATATCATATTAGACATGTGCATGGCCACAGGAGTTTGATTCATTGATGGGAGAGCAATCGAAGATCCTCCAGTTAAGGCAGCAGAGTTCATCACTTGGCGTGCTTGAGAGAGATTATTCAGTATGCTAACATTTGCCGCACCAGGAGGCACAGGACGTACAGACTGCGGCATCCCACTGACTGTAGGTTTCAGTTCTGGCACATTTTCACCATTCGTCATCATTTCTTGACTAGTCGTAGGCGGTGAAGAAGTCTGCAGACTTGGAACTGCTTGAGTAGCAGGGCGTGCAGATGGAATATGTGAAAAAACAGGTCCAGGTGCCATAGAAGTTACAGTAGTTGGTTCCTGGACATAAGATTATGAAATTATAACCAAGTCATAATCCATAATAGCAATAAAATTATAAAAGCAACCATTTTTCTCTTAGGACAAGAAAATTAAAAAACTTACAATTTTTACAGTTGCAGTGGGGACATTTCCAACAGAAATTGGTGGTCGGTTCATGATAGATCCATTCACTAAAATTTAAAATGAAAGTATTCAACAAGGCAGAAAATCAAAGCACGTATATAATGTTGGGAGTTATCTCATGAACCTACAACTAGCAATCAAATGTGTTTCATAGGATAGAAGAAATCATGCAGAAAGTCAATCACACTCATAATCAAGAAGAAATTACAACTGCATAAACAACCTGATGATATTGAGGGTGGAGGTGGCCCTGCAACAGAAGGAACTGAAGAAACATCCATTTTCACAGGACTCTGATTAGCAGAAAGATTTGAAACTCCAGGACGAGTTAAAGCAGTACGAGCCTCCATGAAGTTCTCAGAGATTAGAACAAGAAAATGAGGATTTTTAACATTGTCAACTGTCGGATCTGCTACTCTGGTATTGCGCTTTCCCTGCATTAACAAAGTAATGCATGATTAGAATGTCTAGTCACCAATGAGAATAATGCTTGTAAAATTTCATAAATAAGAAGTGAATATAATAGCATCATTATTTGCAATGCTAGGGCACTGTTTGTCCCCTCCTCTCTTTTCTCCTTTTAACGAGCCCCATTGTTCAAAGACAGATAAACAATTTAGTTGTTGCTTTCATCTGTATGAGCATCTGTTATCACAGTGCCCCAAAATTATAAAACCTGAATCCTCAAATTTGCAGTCACATTAAATGTTAATCGAGCCAGAAGATATGGATGAACAAAGATAAGTCCAATTGAGATGTTGACAACAGTACAAAAGCTTTGATGTATATTGCAGAGTAAAGATTAACTAAAGAGAAAGATCAAGTAAAATTAGATTCTTACTGCATTGTAGATTGCTCTGAGTTTCAGAAGCTGTTTTGGACAAATGACAGATAGAGAAACAGAGCACTGCAATGCAAACTTGGGGTTAGCGACCAAATAACAAGCAACATTCAAGAAAGAGAACAAGGAAGATGTCAGTAGTAGTAGATCAGCAAGGATTACAATATAAATAAATAAATAAAAAAGAAGAAAACCTGGGGAAATGATTTAGCAACTGTCTCAGCATCAGATAGACGACTTTCTGTTTGCAGATCAATATTTTCACTCTGCTCCAAATTTTGTATTTGCGGTCGGTAGACTGGTGTTGGCAACGAATGAGGGTTACTTGCAGCAACAAGAACACAATGCCTTTGTGCATCTGTATTCTGTTGAGCTTGGCTTGCATTTGGAGCAAAAGGGAACATCTGAAGGAATCAAAAAATAAAACTGAGAATATCCTCTGCACTTAAATAATCAAGTTATTATATCTAACTCATCGCCTGTAGGTAAATCCTTTGCACCAAGCCCAAAGCAACTTTACAGTCAATAAGTAAAAGCAGCAAGTGCAAAAACCAAATAACTTTAGAGCTCTTTCCTGAACCATGTATCAATTACATTTCATGCAAGAGGCAAGAAAATGACAACCAAGGAGCTCACAAGTTGTTCAAAATATCTTCTCAAATTAATAGATACATCATGTGCGATGCTTCGTGTAGTGGGTCACCCCTTTTTTTAGTAGATATACTGTGATAGATTTTTGTTATATTTGGCTGAAATCCAATAAATTTGTCATACAGACAGAATATAGAAACCTTCAGCAAAAGAATCCTCAATAAAGTTAACAACTGTTCAAATAAAGTTATAAACTTATATAAGTGTCAAGGGAAAACAATAAAGTCTGACACATTAATTAAGAGTGATTCCACTGCTAATCTAGCAGGCAACTTGCAACATCCTCCTTGCAATGTCCAAAACAATGTTTTTTCAAGCTTAAGAAGTGGAACAGAAAAATTGTACTGGAGGCTAATTGCCATTCTATATCACAGAAGAAGATAAAACTATATATTGAACCCAAAAGACAAAGAAGAAGATGTATTGTACGATTGTACTGCCTAAAAAAGAGGAAAGAAAGATGTTCTACACAACACTGCCACTCAAGAAGAAGAAGTCTTTAGAACTAAAGGAACTAAGATTTTTACCTTTTCAACAATTATCTAAGACAATCAAGGTAAAACAGGACCACAGTACAAGTGGGCATCAAAGTTTGAAAATGAGGAAAAGCTGCAAAGTGATGGTTTCAAGGCATATCCCCAACAAATATGTATATCTTGAATAATCTTTTTCTTGTATTCCTAAGAAAACAGAGGTAAATTTTGAAGAATAATCAGTGAAGAAAATTTATGTACAATGACAACGGTAGTAAGAGAAGAGATAGGTAAGAGGAGAGATAAGGTTCAATATGAAAGTTCTACATGGAACAAGTCTAAAACGGGGACTTAAATAATGTAATGGCAGTTTTAAGGGATTTTGGCATGGCATTACATTTCAGGCTGGTTAGATATGGTAAATTTATTGCAATAGTGGGATCAGTTAATACACTAGCACAAGCTGATATAGGTAATTGTCCAGGTCTGGTATAGATGAACAAATGCACGAAAGGAAAATTGAGGACATAACAGGAGTGAAGAAGACGAAGGTTAAATTTCAGGTTGATTTGTGGAAAAATGCTTAAGGAATTAATGGCATTAGACCTTTCTATAGATGCACTTATATACCAAGTGGAAAGAAATTAAACAATTGACATACTCTAGATTGAGATCATAGTTAGTTTAGTAGTAGACTTGACCTTTCAACCTTTAAAGCAAGAGAAAATCAAGCAAAGAAATTGCAAAAGCTTACTGCAATTATCATAGGAAGATAGTTTTTTTTTTTTTTTTTTTTTTTTTTTTTTTTTGACCTTTACAAACCTTTAAAGCAGCACGAAAATTCAAGCAAAGAAATTGCCAAAAGCCTTACTTGCAATTAATCATAGGAAGATAGTTTTTTTTTTTTTTTTTTTTTTTTTTTTTTTTGAAATAAAAAGAGGTAAGAAACTTAAAATTGAAATTTAGGAAACAAACACTACCATTAACTGCTTCAGAAAAAAGCCCTTCTGGCAATTCAGCATCATTGTTTTTTTTTTTTTTTTTTTTTTTTTTTTGAAATAAAAGAGGTAAGAACTTAAAATTGAAAATTTAGAATACAAACACTACCATTAATGCTTCAGAAAGCCCTTCTGCAATTGCAGCATCATTGAAGCCACCACCAGCAAAAGGAATACAAGATAACCATTGTAGAAAGATATCAATGTCCCTTGTCCAGCCACTTCGTTGCACTAGGCAAGCTAGATAAAGAATGATGACAATGAGAATGGTATCTTTGTTAGTTAACCAAGTGTGGTATTGGTATTATAGAGAAGCATCAAGATTAAATTTCACACTAATCTGGAACATAAAGGTAAAATCACAGGTATCCAGCATATTGCAAGCCCAGCGCAATCCAAGTTTACAGTATTGTTAAAATAAGTTCAGGTATCTGTAGATTTTACTTTTGCTATCTAACTTTTCAAAAAACAGATTAAGAGTGTTCAAAATTGTAGTGATTATGTGGAGCATGTATGGGAAAAAATTAAACTAGGAACCAAGCAAGGACAGAACTTAAAGGAAGATGGATTTTACAAACATTAAGCATATGTTGTTATTCAGACATTAAGTTGTTAGAATTCTGATTTCAACTAAAAATCCAAAATCACAAAAAAGAAACCAGTTTCACAAAATCTTTTTAGTACTAAAATTCTAAATGAAGGAAAGGAAATCTTAGTTCAGCAAGCTCTACATAACCTTGAGAGGCCAAACAAATAATTTAAGTGAAGATTGAAAAGGAATGCCAGCAGACATGCATCTTCATATTTTATTCCTCAAAAAATAGTCGTTGATAACAAAAGCAATACAATCATCAACTGATCAATAAATTTGATATGGTGAATGAGAAGATCAAGCAAAAGACGTACCAGAATAAGATCCATGAGCATAAAATGTGACGAGTGAGAGCTCAACAGTAGAAGTTGCAGGCTTCTGTGTTTCATAAAAAGAAAATTATATACACAGACACAAACTATTAAACACATAGGAGCCAATAATAAGCAAGGTAAATGATACAAATTTTGAAAGAAGTTACATAAAAAAAGATGGTTATAAAGTCTCTAATTGACATAAAAGACCATAAAAACATCAACTGTAACAGAAGCTCAAAGGAACTGTTCCATCTAAGTAATTGCACACATCTCGTGATTAACATAAAAAAAACTCTCAAAGTAAATGTTATTTCAATCAAACATGCCTACTGAGAAAGACCAAAGGTTCAAACCAAGTCTTGCTTAAACTAGGAGGATGAAAAACTAGGAAAAGCCAACAAGTTCCCATCTATAATGCTAATTATTTAAGACTCACTGTAAGCCATGAGAAAGCTGGTTCTTATAAAATCTAATGGAAAAGAAATTACTAAATTAGAAAGAATTGCACGAGCTCAAGATTTATATTGCAAACACAACAAGAAAAATGTGCACAGGAATTTGAACAGGCAAAATATAAGCACCAAACTTTAAAATGCAACAAAAGCATCATAAAATATTTGCATTACCACATCATATTATGTAACAAAAGCAGAATACTCTATTTTCAATTCTTGGTACTTCCTTGAACAAAACCATTTGCATTATTGTTAAAGGAAGGCAATGTCGCCCTTAATTTTTAAAAGTTTCCTTAACTACAACTAGAAACGTAGAAACAATGTAGTTTACCAACACACACAAGGCTCTCTCCACAAAAGGTTGTGCTCTCATTTCAAAAGTGAATTTAATAATAGAGATTTCAGTAGGGGTAAGAAAAATTTCAAACCGAACTGACACTATTCAGTTTACTCGCAAAGAAAATCGGTTGTCATTTTAAATGGTTTGAACCAGAACTTCCTTTGGTTCTGGCTCAGTTTTGCAAAAATAATTGGTCAAGCTTAAAATCGAATCGACCCAAAAATACGTTAAAAACCGACTGAACCGACCAAGCCAAGCCGATTCAGTTCAGACATAAACTCCGGATCGAGTCAGTTTCATTTGTAAAACTTTGGTTTGGCTTTTTCCGCGTCAGTTCAGTTTGAAACCAAAACAACCATTTGCTCACTCCTAGATTTAAGAACAATATACTTGCAAAAGGAGATCAGCTTACTTAATCATAGGTACATTAGTTACAACATGAACATCATAGGCAAGTATCATTACAGAGGAGCATATAATAGGTACTTGACATGATGAACAAATTCTTGTGTGGGAAGCAACTGATGATTCAATATGCGTCAATATACAAGCTGCCACTTTAAACATACATCAAAATGCTAAGTGAATCATACTTCACTCCTAATGCTTCATCCTAAGGAATTGCATACAAATTATAATTGTAATTGTTAGTTGAATTCTTAAAGAAAATTAGAAGCAATCTATTGCCTCAAAGCCAATGATGTGAAAAACATAAAAGAAAATTCAAAAAGGAAGTAAAAAAAATTTACCCGTTTAAAGAACATAAATTCTATTCAACATGGTAAGGCCTGCTGAAATTAAAAGCTTGTACTAGTGACACAGATCACATATAACAAAGTGAAGAAAAGTGAAACAACAAGCAGGCAGAAATCATTCAAGGAGCTGGTTCCTCCATGCCTTATCCCTACACAATAGGCTTTTCGAATATAACAAGTGAGCCTAGCTCATGTAAGTTGTTCATTTAGGTTCGTTAGACCTTGTTGCTTTACCTCTCAAAGAAAGTACCTTTAGCATTGGGTCCAAAATCCATGACATAAATGTTTCTAGTACATAAGTAACTGGATATTCAGCAGATGCTACGGCAACAAAAGAAGTTTTAGGGACAAAAAGAAAGCCTGCTTTGAGATGCACAATATTATTAAATCTAATGAAGTATTCCATGGGAAGTGATTTACAATTTGCCATTCATGTCTCCTGTTTGATTCTTTATTAAATTATGATTTCAATCACAAGATTGAGATTGCAATAAATTCATCAAGTTGAAAACAAACTAACCTGCCCAGTCAAGTCACTACCAACAAAAGACCTGCACAAAGTGAGCAAGGATTATAATCTTGCGAGACCTTGGTACAAACCAAGATACAAGATTTCCCAAACACATCTCAAAAAACTTATAATCTTGCGATACAAGATCTTTTCATGTATTATAAATCCATGAATTCAGAATTTTTCAAAATTACGAAAAGAAGAGGAAACTGCATCATGCACTGCACCAATGTTATGCATTATAGATACACAATTTATCATCAATGCATTCGATCTGCTTGATGCCTATTCTAGGACACCTTCATTCCCTCCACTCTTGATCTTACCGTTTTAGAATCATAGAACTTAAATTTCAACTTACTTCTTCATATATATACTTTAAGATAGAGCAGAAGCTACATAATGGAAGCTTAAGCGGCATCAAAGATGTGGGATTTGGCTATTTGGCCAGTTTGTTTGATGCATATTTAAGCCTTTTTCCCCCCTCTCAGTGATTCTTTTCCTTTTTGGTGTTGATTGAAAATGGTAACCAAGAGGGGAGAGATTCAACAATGCACAATTCAAAATTTGACAATTTTAAATTATTTTTACTGCGCCAATAATTTAAAAAGAAATATTAATCCATTTAGTTTCAGCCTTTTAGTCATCTTAGGTAGTGGTTCAGGGATCAAATACCAGCCAAAAACGAGGCAACTAATAATTAACATATCCACAATGTTTGTTAACTACACAAGGAAACGCCAACGCTGAATTGAACAAAATTCAGTAGGTTATTTGAAAAAAACAAGCCCTAATGGCACAAAAAGTAAATAAGAAGTTTTTTTTTTTTTTTAAAACACTATAGCAAACAAGCAAGCAAACAAACAGTACCTGATGATCTTTTCAAGGTAATCAGAAAGGATGCTTTGCCAGAAGGGCCCCATGGCAGCGGAGCCTTCAACGGCAACGATCAGCTGTTTCTCCGTCATAGCGCGCTGAGAAATTTCCCCACCTGGATTTCAAATTAGAATCCACATCGACGAGGGATCTGGTTATTCATTTCCGATTCAACTTTTAGAGAAAAAGCAGGAGTTTTTGACGGAAAAGGAAAATGGTGCGTTTCATGCGCAATTCCTTGCATTGCAACTTGTAAGCTGATCCATCTGCCTCTAGGGGTGAGCAAAACCACCGACCAATTTCGGTTCGGTCAGGTGTCCAAGAGAGATTTGTTGGGTTTGAACTGAATTTGTTACTCGGTATGAGTCGATTATATAAAAATTCATCAATTAGGCTTCAAACTGAATCGAAATGATAAACATGGATAAAAAAAAAAAAAAACTAAACCAACTGGTTTAATTCAGTTGGTTCGATTCATATGTAAATTTTGGTCCGATTCATTGGAAACAAAATTTCAATTTGTTTTTTATGGCCTCCATTCGATTTGAAAAATATTATGTAAGGTATGTATTAGATGTAAAATTGTCCACTTCATTATAATATGATTCAACAGTTTTGAAACCGAAATTATATAATATATATTAAAATAAAATATATAATGTATATATTAAATATAGTAATACACACGTCTTATATGGTAAATAATATATTAATATAATATTGTAATACTATGAACTGGATATTAAATATGGTATATGAGTAAAAATATAATATATTTAAAAATTTTAATTTTATTGGTCGAAAAAAATAAAGATAATTTAATTTTGATTGGTTATATTATGCTATATATTTAATTCAGTTGGGTTCCGATTCATATGTGTTAAATTTTGGTCGATCATTGGAAACCAAGGAATTTCAAATTTGGTTTTTATGCCTCCCATTCGATCTTGAAAAGAATATTTTATGCTTACAGGTAAATATTAGATGTAAATTGTGTACCACTTTCATCCGTAATAATATAGACTTTCAACCAGTTTTGAATACCGGAAAGTATATAATCTATATATTAAAAATAAAAATATATAAGTATATTAAATATAGTAATACACACGTCTTATATGGTAAAATTAGTATGAGATTAATATGAATATTGTAATACATGGATGAACTGGATATTAAATATGGTATATGAGTAAAAAGTATAATATATTTTAAAAATTTTGATTTTATTGGTACGAAAAAAAAAATTAAATATATTTAAAAATTTTAATTTTATTGGTCGAAAAAAATAAAGATAATTTAATTTTGATTGGTTATATTATGCTATATAAAGTACATGTTAAATATGATATTACATGTTTAATTATTGTTTTAATAAATCTTTAATTTGTTTGGTTACAATTATTTTCTACAAGTAACTCATTATAAAAAAATAAATATGTTTTATTATTACTTATTAAGGAATATATTATAAGATTTATTATTTGCAATAAGTAAAAAACTCATTAGAAACATATGTAATTATATATAAAACATTATATTAATAAACCATGTTCTAAAAAAAGCAACCATGAAATTAACTATATACCAGTAGATTTTAGCAAAAAGTAAAATAAATACCAAATTTATAAATGATGCTTTAAAATAAAAATTAATATATTAATTATTATAATATATAAGGGGTATGTGATGAGAGAGATCTCTTCCTCGTTAACTAGAGGTTTCAAACCTGGGTATAGAGTTCTTTTGAACACTGGAGATAGGGCGCTTTACATTAGGTCTATTTGACATTTTAATTTTATGAACTGATAAAATAAAAATAATTTAATTTTGATTGGTTATATTATCCTACATAAGATACACATTAAATATGGTAAAAATATTATATGTTTAGTTATTATTTTTAATAAATCATTAATTTGATTGGTTATGATTATTTTCCACAAATAATATTCGCAAAAAATAGTTTATTATTATTTATTAGAAATATGTTATAAGATTTACCATTTGATATAAAATAGTAAACAAAACTCACTATAAATACATATAAAATATAAAAATGTGATTTAAAACACATTATGTGAAAACCACATGCTATCTATTATATAATACTTGTCATATTTGGAATTTTATATCCTTTAAAAAATCATTAAATTTATCTAAGTCACAATACATTATTGAGTAAATTGACTATGTCACTCTAAATTTAATACTAATTATCTAAGAAAACCCTTAAATTAAAGTAATAATTATTGATCATGAATAAAAAAATCTTTATTACTATTTGAAATCACAAATGCAATGAGTATTGTATAACAGAAATATTTTGTCAAATGTGACAAGTATTATGGAATGGAGATAATAATAAACTGAAAGAATTTATTTCTCGAAAAAAAAAACAACCTTAAACTTTAACAAAAAGAAAAAAAAATATAAATGATGATAAAAAAATTATATTAATCACTATAATAGCTAATACTAATTTTTCATATTTTAATAATATAGACAGATTATGAAATTATATTATATACGAAATTAAATTAATTAAATTTAAATTTTTTTTTAAGAAAATTTAAATTGGTTGATAAGCAATTTTATTTTTTATAAAAATTTAGTTGTGAAATTATAATAATATTTTGTACTAAACATATATTATTTTCTTAACGACTTTTTTTTTTTTTTGATAGTAAACGACTTAAAATTATAATAAATATACTATTTCCCTAACAAGTTATTTAATTATTAAATTATTTATTTATTTTTTATAAAATATTATTTTTCTATTTTATGAATACTCTTAAATTTGATTCATAATATTATAATTTATATGTGAATTAATAATGATAAATCGAGGTAATTCTGACCTGACCCGACCCGTATAAGAAGCTGACTTGAAGAATTCGCGGGAGCCAAGCTCGAGAGGGCCCACACCAGCTATAGTTTTGTTTTCTCCTTAGTTCTTAGCCGCTCCCTGAATGTTGGCTGAGAAGGAAACGAAACCACCAAGAAGTCTGTTTGAAAGCGACAATTTACATTGTGACAGAGTTCAATGAGAATTGAATCTTAGTTGAGTTTTTCTTTAATTTCACGATTCGAGGAAGCCTTTGACTCACAATTGCATAATTGCTCTGTTTCTTGTAGTTTTTTCTTTCCGTGTGAAAGCTAATTTAGTTTTTGGTCCCTGTCTCGGTTCGGATACTTGCTCATTAGTACACTCGAGTGTGGACAAAGATGATGCTCCAGTATCGAGACCTAGCTAAGCTTAAAACGAAGAAGGTAGGCTTTGCTTTACTATTGATTGATTCTTTTATTTGGGTTTTTACTGGATTCGATTTGTTGTGCTGGGGTTTTAGTGGGTTTGGTCGATTTTGATTGTAAGGATCTTGTTTATCGTTTCTATAATAAAGTCGGCCAGACTTAGATAACTATAATGACAAAATGAGACATTGGAAAACTTCAATTCTGTATGGTTTGACACATGTGATCAATGTGAACAGATTGTTTTTGAGGATGTATTTGCTGCTCGTGATTCTGTAACTCTGGAGAATTTGAAAGAGTTGAGTTCCAAACGTAGGGTAATTGAGAACTCCATTAATCAAACAAGCTTTATCACTGAAGCTATTGCGAGAGAAATGTCTGGTGGTTCCACTTCTCGTTGTGAGCAGGTCATCTTTTAATAGCTGAATTCCTTAAGTTTTATTTGTTTTCCCCTTTCTCAAGTATTTGGACAATTTTCTTTTCATGTTGCTTAAAGCTAGTATCTTCTTTTGTGAGTTTGTTGACTACTGGCTGTTAAATTCTCTAGAATCTAATTGTTGTTGATTTCCCTCTGTCTTTGTATCATGCTCTCATCTATACAAGTAACCTTATTGTCATCTAAATCAATCCTAAACGCTGGAATTTGTATGGTAATGTAGAATTCCTTGTTGTCTTTTCCATAGTCTTTTTGAACAATTCAATATAGTTCTAATGCCATATCCAATTAATGAAATTATGGTCGTGACTAAAATTGCTTGATCCAACCTAAGTGATTTAGTTTGCATGTAATTACCAATTTGCTTATTTGCTGCCAGCTTTAAAGAGTGGTTGTTCTGATTTGATATTTTGTTTGAAGTGGCTCAGGAACGTCTTCGACTGGAAAATTATTTGCCATTATTGGAAAATTTCATTTCTCATGCTGATGTGGTCGGCAGAGACAGTCAGATGGTCCGCTGGATTTCACAACTCAAGATACAATGGAGCAGTGTTCTTAGCTCGTCAACTTTCTTTAACCTTACAGGTCCAAAGTTTTTTCAAATTGATAATTTGCAGTTTGAGCTTGGTATGGCCCTCTTCCTTTATGGAGCAATACTTAGGGAGAGGGCTTTGGAGTTTCTGCCATCAGGTGGGTTTTAATGCCAATTTTATGTCACATTGGCATGATTTTGTTGATTGAGCTATTTAATTTCTATTTCTGTCTTTATATTGATGTAGACTTGAAGCAATCAGCTTTCATCTTCAGAGAAGCTGCTGGAGTCTTTCATTATCTGGCTCATGATGTTCTTCCCTCTTTACATCCTACAATTGCTGCAGAAAGGCCATCAGAAGCTAGTTCATCTGTGACTGCTGCTACAAGTCTCATTTGTTTGGCTGAGGCCCAGGTTAGCCCCTTGGCTTTCAACCTTTCAATTCTAATCTTGTGCCACTTGGAAACTAACACCAATCTAATGGTTGAAATTTTGTTACTGATAGAACTTTTGCTGATTTTTCTATATGATAATTGATGATATTATAATGTGTTAGGCTGTATACATAAGAAAGGCTGAAGAAGCAGGAAATATAGGTTTTGGTGTTTTGGCAAAGCTACACTGTGGCGTTGCAGAATTGCTCAGTGAAGCCATTGGAGCTTTAAATTCTGGGATTGGAGAGTACAAGGCCATTTCATCACGCTTTTTGGTATGTGTGGTGGTTCATGGTAGTTGTAAAACTGTATTTGTTCTTATTGCTGGCTGAGAAACTCAAATTTAGAATTTATGTTGCAATCTAGTAACTATTTGTTGGTGGATTGTGTTCTGCACTTTTTAAATACAAGTAGATTTCTGACAAGATAATGAAAATGGCTTAAAGAGGAGGAAGAAACATATCAAAGTCTAAGTAGGACTGGAACCTACGACCAGTTAGTGCCAAAACTGAAAAATTGATATAGTGGCTCCTACACAAAACTGGTATTTGACTGTGTTTGTTGCCTGGTATGCCAGCTAAGATGCATGTATCTGTATAATGAATATGATACTTGTAAGATGGTTAAGTGGCATTTAAGACTACCACAAACTAGGTTCTTTTGAATTGTGGATTTTAAAGTACTTGCTATATATGGCTAAAAGCATAAGATGATTTATTTTCCTTTTCTGGGAACTGGCGTAACTTTTGTTCCACATTTCAAGGCACAATTGAATACAGAAGCTTGTGCTGACTTTTGCTAATATATGATGAAGTTTTTGGTCTTAGACTGAATGAGTAAGAAGATAAATGAATTCAGAATTCTGGAAATTTAGCTCTTTTATTGATTTGTCAAACCGATGTACATTCATATGTATGTATATCTTTATGCATGCGCATGAGCGTGAGAAATGAACTTCAAATATACATAGAGTGGTGCAGAGTGAACATGCATAGCTTTTAGGGGTGAGACTTTCTCCAAAATCATTTTGTGCTTTACCAATTGCATTTTGTTTTGTCTAGTAATCAGAATTGAATGCAACTATTGTATTTATTGTTGGTTGCTTGTATGGCATGTCTACATCTCATGTAGTTGCTACATATTAATTTATTCTTTTCATGTTCTGTGCAGGAATTTATATCCTCTTGCAAAGCTCTACATGAGTTACAAAGTCAGAAATACTTTGCAGCAAGTTTAAAGAATGATGGCCAAGTTGGAGTTGCCATTGGACTTCTTCGTGATGCTTTAACCAATGTGAAGAGGAAAATGCCAGGGGAGGATTCTTGGAAATCTGTCTTTAGGAAAGAAATTGAAAATGCTGCAGATACCCTCAGAAAGTTGGAACATGAGAACGAATTTGTTTGGCAAGAGAAGATTCCTTCTGCAGATGAGTTGCCATTACTTGAGGGTAACAAAATTGTGAAGATAGAACCTTATCGGCCCAAGAAATGGGAGAGAGAACTTGCTTTTAAGATATAGGTAAATATATAGAAAACTCTTGTATAGAATTCCTATCTCCATTTTAAGGAAGCAAGGGCAAACGAGCTTCTAGTTTTCCTTGCCTTTTTATTTAATGTCCAGAAAGTGAGAAGAATACTACTTTTTCTTTCCAGTAGTCTGGCAAAGCCTGGAGGATTTTTTGGTATGTTGATTGGGCTGTATGGACAAAGGTGTTTATATAGCTGTTGATTGATTATAACCTCTTTTTTTTTTTTTTTTTTTTTTTTTTTTTTTTTTTTTTTTTTTTTTTGCTTGATTATAACCTCTTTTTTTTTTTTTTTTTTTTTTTTTTTTTTTTTTTTTTTTTTTTTTTTTTTTTTTTTTTTTTTTTTTTGTGAGAGGTACTATCATATTATAAAGTAATCAGCGTTAGTAATCCTTATTTTATTATCTAATTCTGAAAGAAGGAAAAAAGGTGGCTAATTGGCTATTTCCTTGGCTTAACTCGGTATAATTACAAACGCAAACTTAACATATAAAATGTTTATACCTTCAATTTCTGCATCTCTGTATTAGTTAATTCCATTTTTTTTTTTTTTAAATTCAACTTCTGTAATTTTAATTTATTAGCAACCAAGCAGGAGTTTTCATTTTTATGATACCAAGTATTTTATATGAAAACTAATAAAACCAATTAATTTTTTGTTGAAGTTAGAATTATAATCATTTTCCAAAGCTACAACATTTCAAATAAACCTAAAAAAAGAAAAAAAAAAAATGAAAAGAAGGCTACTAACAGGTGTTAGATGAGACCCTGTCAATCTGCCATAGAGTGTCTACTAGGATTGCTGGCCATGGATGGCAGCAAATTTTCAGGCATTCAAAACTTTCCCTTGCTTGGTAGATCAAACTCGGTTCGACTCACCAGCATCAGCCTCCGAGTTCATCAACTCATAGAGCTAAGCAATGGTACTGGGCTACTGGCCACTGGGTCATGATTTTCCACGTGGCAGAATCATAACCATCTGAGCAAATGAGCGGTTGAGCACACTGACTCGCGGGAAGGAAAATTGTTACACCCGAAAAAATCGAAACTTTAACTGTCAAAGAGGCATTTCCTTCTCTTCTTGTTTCTGTCTCATGGCTCTTCACTGCAATTCTCTTCTCCATAATCCTTTTAGAACCAGACCCCTGTCTCCATTCAAGCTATTCTCAACCAGCCGTCTTTCCACAGATTGTAATGGCCGAATCTGCATCAATTCCAGTACATTGAACCTATCAAGGAACGGAAGGAACAGGTCTCTCTCTTTCACTTTTTATTTCTCGTAAAATATAGTATTTCTTTTGTTATTACTTGAAATTTATGTTTGAAGTCTTAATTTCAGGTTAAATAAGGTTGTTTCTGCAGTAATATCTGAAGAAAGCGCAGTCGGGTCAAGTTCTGCTGGAACTGATGTGTTCAAACTGACCTACTTAGAGGTTCTCTTATAGTTTTCTTGATCTGAGTCTTGGATTAGTTTGATTAATTTACAGTTTTTGTTAAACATTTCATTAATTTGTTTATTAATTAATTTAATTCGTTTTAGGGGAATAGTTGGTTATGGGAAGTGGGTGGAGTCAAGATTTTGGTTGATCCAATCTTAGTGGGTAACTTGGATTTTGGAATTCCTTGGCTATATGATGCTGCCAAGAAGTTCTTAAAGAATTTCCAGGTACTTTCTAATGCTTCAATTGCTATGTTAATCGATGTTGGTAACAGTGATAGCCACATTTTGAAAAGTTTAGGGTCAATTTTCTAATGTAGGTGTCATTAATTATGAAGGGAAAAGTGATTCATAATATCTGGATTGATCAATTAATTTTCTATTAGTTTAATCTTCTTTTACAATTTGTTTTTTCATTTGTTTTTAGTGTATGTTGTGGATGAACAGTTTAATTTAGTACTGCAATTACAATGCAGCTTAGCAATCTTCCCGAAGTGGATTGCTTATTGATTACTCAAAGTCTTGATGATCATTGTCATTTGAAGACCTTAAAGCCTCTATCGGAAATCTTGCCAAACCTTAGAGTTATTGCTACTCCTAATGCTAAGCCATTGCTGGATCCCCGTTTTAGCAATGTGAGTACTTTTCAATTTTGGCTTTTGTCTGCTCTTTTTTGGGATTCAGCTACTCTATGGTTATTGTGCATGCCTATGTTATAAGGACTTGGACACTTTATAATTGCAAGTAGGAATTGAAAGTTTATACAATACTGATTTTACCATATACCTAATTTGTAATGCTATTAGAAGTGCGGCAATCTAGAAGCTGTTTTTGGATAGGATTAGTCATTAGAGTGGTAGAAGAAAAGTAGCCACTGTTTCTAGTAATGGTGTCCAAATGCTTGTGATGTAGGGAACTCTCCTTGAATCTCTCTCCTATTTTTTCCTGCAATTTCTTATGATGGGGAGCAATACACATGCTTGTGCACCTATTCTAGCACTTCTCTTATCACGCTGGCTTTGTTAAACTATTTTTGAACTTATTGAGCTTGTAGTGTGACTTTTATTTGTGGACACGTGGCATCAGAGGTCAGACCTCAAAGCATATGAGACCATCTTAACTATAACATTGCAAGAGTGCCGTTCATGTGCAAGTGAGGACCTGAAGTACATTGTTAAGACCATTCTCCAATAACTTAAATGTTTTAACACAACCCTTGGCAAATAATTAGAAGTGGTTCCAGCATATCTAAAAAACTAAAGATACAAAGGCTATTTCCGGACTTTACATGAGAAATCAGCACCATCTTACCCACGTTATAAGGTCAGTTTCGTCGCCTTTAAATGTAATAACAGTAAGGAGAAAACTATTGACTGCACAGATTAGTGAAAACTATTCGACTAGCAAGAAGGAAAAAGGTCTGGAATTCAAAAGGATACTGTGGTCATTATTCTCATTGAAGAAGTACCTTTGATTTACTATTTTTGAGTTTGTGTTTTTGTGCCTGCTTATATACATCTACCTATTTGTTTGCACATGTGTCGGTGTGCAGCTGCTTATACCTGTGCACTCATTTTTGTTCATCCATGCCTATATGTTGGATAATTTAACCTAATGCACAACCTGTTTTTTTCTTGATGGCCTTTAATCTATTTTTATTCTATTCACACATGTATCATGAGAAACTAGAATTAAATTGCACATAGAGCATCTCTGGGGTTGAGGAGGCCAAAAGTGTGGGCCCCCAAACCAGTAATGAAGCTCACCATGTTGGCTGTACTGCATGCTTAGTTTTGAGGTTTACTGTGACTACAGTCCTACAGCTATAAACTTTCTTTTGTGCACTTAATGTCTTGATGATTTAAGCATTTCCACATTCAAACACAAACATAGATTCAGATTCTTTCAGGTCACTTATTTAGAGCCTGGTCAGAGCTCTGAAATTGAAGCTAGAGATGGTTCCAAAGTCAAAGTTCAAGCAACTGCAGGGCCAGTTCTGGGTCCTCCTTGGCAGCGCCCTGAGAATGGGTAAAACCTTTTGTACTTGGAACTGACAGACCCAGAATTCAAATTTTGGTGGGGGGCAAGAAGAATTTGTTTAAGAATTGGGGTGGGGATCAAAAACATAAATTTTTTCACAATTTTGTAAATTTAAAACAATTTGGACTTAAGGGGGCGATGGCTCCCACCCATACCCAACCCCCCCCCAAGGGGCGATGGCTCCCACCCATACCCACCCCCCCACCCCCCCCCCCCCCCATGTCTGTCAGTTTGGAAGTAGGGTCACCTATTTACATATTTCAGTATAGCGAGTTACAAATGTCTTTCTATTTGCTTCAGGTACCTTGTGAATTCTCCACAAGGACAACTGACACTTTACTATGAACCACACTGTGTATATAACAAGAGTTTTCTGGAGAAGGAACATGCTGACATTGTCATCACACCAGTCATAAAGCAGCTTCTGCCTAAATTTACTTTGGTGTCTGGACAAGAAGATGCCGTTGAACTTGCAAAGTTGCTGCGTGCTAAGTATGCAGCCATCGCAATTTTTTCAATATTTATGTGAACATAATGTTGTTATAGTATTAACAATTTTTTTTTTTTTTTGATTTCTTACACTATTTCCTAATTTCTTTGTTTTTATCTTATTTTCATACATTATTTCCTAGGTTCATTGTCCCAATGAAAAACGGAGACCTTGATGCCAAAGGGTTTCTTGCCAGTATCATCAAGGCAGAGGGAACCATAGAATCATTCAAGGTTTGTATTTTTCATAGAAGTCCTTCACAAGAATAAAATCATGTGAGCAATAGATTCGGATAAAGAAAAAAAAAATAACGTGACATGAGTAATGCATCAAAGACTAGGCCATACTGACTGCCTCAAGGTTCTTAGTAAACCATTACATTAGATGTCTTGAAATGAGTTTGCTGATGCAACATGCTAGTTTGAGGTTACTGTACTACATATTTAAGTGATGGCGATGCATTCGAACTTCTATTCATGTAGGAGCTTTTGGCAAAGGAACTACCAGATGCCCAGGTACTAGAGCCTAAACCTGGTGTACCATTAGAAGTTTATGCACCTTGAAATTTTCCAGTCACGGATTGTATCCTTATACTACTGTTTCAATCAGAATACAGTTTCATTAAATATGTAAATATGCTTAGTTTTTGTTTCTTTAGCTAGTTGAGAACATTGAAATAACTCGTATGCTGGGGAAGATCAAAAAGAAAAAACTAGTGTAAAGGGCAATATGACCATAACTTTGCTCTCTTTTTTTAGCAAAAGATGGCTCTTTTTGGGATTCTTGTTGGGCTACACTGTCCATAAACTTGAATCTAGCAGATGACAGGCTACATTTAGTTTTAGGCCTAACAGGGCCATCTATATCAAACTTTGTGTCTTTTTTTAATTTTATAATTCAGTTTAAAAATGGAATTAAAACGATTAAACATTTATTTTAAACTTTGAGAGCAATTATACACATGTATACTAAATTTGGGAGAGACTTTCACCTCTCTCCTATCTGGCACACACATAAACTTAAAGTGGGCCTCATGTCTTTCCTACCAAGTGTATAAAGACATGTTACATAAATAAGGGTTTTGATGTCTTTTTGCAATAAAAACAATAAGAACAAATGTAATAATAATGCATGATAGTTTTTTTAAATGTCAATTAATAAAAAATGGATGTACAATAACAATGTGTGGAAGGGAGAGGAAGGAAAACACCGGAGGAAGTAAAATAAGAGGGCAAAATAATGAAGTATCATTTTTTTTTTTTCTTTAGTTATTTCTCACTATTGTTCATAGATAGAGTGAAAAAAAAAAAAAAAAGAATTTATATTTCACCTTAAACAATATGTTTTTCTCAATTCAATCATCAATTTTTTTTTTTTTTTTTTTGAATTAGGAGAAATTCTAATTTTGTGAGCATGAGAGGAAAATAGTGCATATTTTTCATTATTTTCATATTTTTATAACCATTTATAAACAAGTTAAAATTCGTTACCTTGATATTTTCCTCACGTTTAATTTCCTAAACAAATATCACGTTTTATTTTTATAGCGTACTGTTACACTAGAAATGTCTTTAATTACATTAGCGTAATGTTACGTTATGGCTCATCAAATATTATTTTTATTATTTTTAGAGTATTAATTAAATTAGATAATGGGTAATTAGTATCCAAGTCTTTTGAATCCAATCTCATAAGTATAAAACTCTTACTAACTTAAAATCAAATTTCTTGCTTGGATTGTTAAAAAAAAAAAAAAGAATTCTTTATTTCTTATGATATTTTTTTTTATTTGAATAGCTGAAATGTAGAAAAAAATTATACTTAAAAATTAATTAATACAAAATTTCAAGATGACCATAACTTTTTTTGATTATTTTAAAAATAAAATTAAGGATGCTTAAAATCTAAACGTTCATTTTCATTTCCATTCTATTCTCAAAATTAACAATTCAGTAAAAGTCATTTTCAGTAGGATGCTTTCAAATGCATATCTATTTGGAATTCTATTGTGTAAATAAAAGGCATCTCCTTTTTTTTTTTTTTTTTTTTAAAAAAAAAAAAAATTCTAATGAAACATGCCTGACTTTTAACCAACCAATGTCTCTCAAAAATTCTCATGAACAAAGCATCTTTTTTTTTTTTTTTTTTTTAAAAAAAAAAAAATTCTAATGAACATGATGACTTTTAACCAACCAATGTCTCTCAAAAATCTCATGAACAAAGCATCAATTTTTAAATTTCATGGTAGAGAGGAAGTGTTTATGTCAAATCGAATAAGCAGTTGACCAAAGTGATAAGCATATGACATTTATATCAGAAATCAATTTGAAGAATGACCTTATTCTGATTTTTGGTTGGGTTGATTGGAATATTCCTATTTCCAATTGTAGTTGAAGTGCTATATTCACCATATCAACCAATAAATCACTTTGTTATCAATTTTATATAACGCAAGAGTCATTTGGCCCTATCTACTCTCAAGAGACACATTTATGTTCTAACTTCTAACCCTTTTTCTCTCCTACTTTTCCAAGTCTGTCTCCATGTTCCATGGATCTATGCCTTTGTACAATCTTCAAATTGAATAATATAACAATGACATTTCTCAAATTAAAATTAAAAGTCATCCATTAAACATTTTACCATCGAAATTTTTATATATTCAGGTTCATATAAATGCCTGACTTTTCTCAATAATAATAAAAATTTTCTTTTTTTAAAACACGATGGTCATTTAATGTTAAACAGCTGTATTTATATTACAAATTGAATACGGAATATCAAAATTCGCATGAAAAGTTTGACTTTTTCTGATTATATTTTAGTTTTTTCTTTTCTGAATTGGAATATAATCATGTAATGTTAAGCTATTAAATATATTACTTATTATCAACAGATAACTTATTTAATATCTACTTGATTGTCACAGCTATCAGTGATTTAAAAATATAATATTTTTTTAAAAGTTAATAATTCGAGTGGAATACATTTATGTTAATGATGATAATGCGTTGCTTCATGTTTTATAAACTTCTATCCTAGCACAAACTATGAGAGTTCCTCTAAATGGTATAATGTACTAGGAGTTGTAAAAAGAAAAGCTCTATGAACAAATCTTACACAATGAGTGTTTGATTACTTGATTTAGAGAAATCAATCTTTTAAATTTACTACTTAAAAAACTTATAATGTATGTGCATGAAATTGATTAAATAAATAAGAGGGAGTTAAAAAAATGCAAAATAATTTTTTTTTTAAAAAAAAGGCTCTCTATGTAATTTCCTCCAATTAATGCCAATATGAAATTTGAAACTTCAAATAACAATATTAAGGGCAGTCCTTATCTAGGACAAAAAATGATGTGGACTTGTGGTCCTATCACTATACCTAATACACAGACACTCTTTATCTTAATTTGATTAAATTAAATATTTTAAAATCTGTTAATTAGTTATTGACATGGAATCTCGGACAAGGTAAGATTCTGAAGGTATCAGAATATCTCTCTCCTGAGTGCACCTTAACAAGAAGATAAGTTAAAGAAACAAAGAATATACTTTGGACAACAAGAAGATAACCTAAAATTGCTATACATTGGCCATTAATTAATATTTGATAATCGATAATATTAACCAATGGACATGAGCAGAATTAAAATATTCCCTAATATTCTGGTATATTCGAAGGTGGACCATGTGTAGAACAGTACATTCACGAGCATATTATTTTGTTTTGTTTATTATCAAGAAATGTGGAATTGTCGTTGTCGTATTGTGCATTTCGTTCCCATGAAATGATAATGTTGTTAAGTTAGTCTCGTCTTACTTAGATTCTCAAGCAATCACGTTTAATTAATGAAAATTATTTATTATTTTTAGATGAATAGATCACCGTCAAGAATCATGATAGTATGATGAAATTGAAAAATCTACCATTTTCTTGTTTTATTATATATTGATTGGCCAAAATTTATTTATTTACTTATTATGGTTCTAATCATTCAATATCCAAAGTCTAATTGCCCGGTTAATCCAGGTTTGAGCAGAGAAGACTCTCAAAAGAGACAGATTTTTTCTCCTAACTATTAAGGGAGAAGAGATTCATAGTATCTCATCTCACTTCTAAAGAGTTATTGATCAGAGTTTATTTCTTTAATTACAGACATCTTTTTATATTTTGGGTTTTTTACAAGTTTTGCTATTATGAAATAAAGATTATATTTTTAAAAAATTCATATTCTCATTTTTGTTTTTTCCTCAATGTTTTTCTTTAATTTGTGTATATATATATATAATTCTTTAAGACCATATTTACAATATGAAACAAAAAGAGTAAAGGAATGCCAATTTCTTCCCCATTCCATTGTTCACCACTTAGTAAGGTGGGAGAATAAAAATAGGAAGAAAATACAGGAAGGTGGAAATAGATGAAGAATAATTATTTAAAAAAAAAAAAATTCAAATATGCACTTATATTAGTCTTTTTCATCCTCCATTCTATTGTCATCATCTCTATAACCAAACACAAGAATAGAATTAGAATTTTTATTCCATTTTGTGTTTTAATTATAGAAATAAAAATTCATATTCTCATTCTTGTTCCATTTCAACTTCAACATATCGAATGTAGTCTAGCAATATTATTCATTGAATTTAATAAAATGTTTTATTATTAAAAAATTACATAAATAAATAATATCATTATCTCTTCTTTTTATATAGTATTAGAAATTACTTGCCTATTCCTATGTATATATATGAGATATTTATATCCAAGCCAATTGATAATAATTATTTCACAAAAAAAAAAATTATTGGACTAAAATTAAATCCTACTCGGCCTACTAAAGGGTAAGTGGTCCCAAATATTTATTACATATATCAATATTGAACCCTCAATTTCACTTAAGGAAAAAAAATATCGAACTACTCATTCTAATACTTGTTGATATACATTTACTCTTTTTATCCATTTTTTTTATCTCAATAAAAGGTTAATAACGTATTCACGTTATATTGATTTGATATATGAGTTAATTATTTGATTAGATCGAGAATGAATTATTTTGAGAGCAGGTGAATTCATTGACTAATTGCATTAAAGAAAATTGACGCTAAGAATTTTTTTGTCATCATATGGTGTACAAAGTAATTAGGCACCATCCATCTCCCTAGCTACATGTGATTCCATCTGAAAATTGCACAGTTTCCAGGTCATAATTGGGGTATGAGCTACCTTTAAGCAACCACACATATATCTATCTAGGCCTAACAATAGAAGATAGTATTTTATTGGATCTTCGGCAACTTGTGATTTACTTATTTTTCTTTTACGGTAAGATTCTTCTTCTTATTGTTATGAATTAAATAAGACACGTATATGAATAATTTAAACAACTCAATAAAGAAATTAAAAATAACATTTTAATTCCATGAAAGGAAGAAAAGGTGTTCGAGTTTCCATTATAATATAGTATTATAAAATTACTGATCACTGCCTACAAAAGGTCTTTCACCAATTCATATTGTCTCAAATGTGTTTGCGTTATATGTATATGGAATGAATATTGCGAGAGTAGTCTTCATTTAAAAAAAAAAAAAAAAAGTAATTGTTAGCTATATTTTCTAAATGCTTTACAAATGTTTCTACATAAATAAAAAGTAACAACCTTTTTCCTATAGCCAGTTGTCGGTCAATATTTTGATATTTTGCTCTTCTAAGACTGTAGACATTACATTTCATTCATCCCTTGGAAATCAAGAAATTTCTGAGAAATTTTGATGTCATTGCTTGCAAACATGACATATATATTTGCTTCTCCATTTCTTTGTTCTTTCATTACCAAACCAGCTGATGCAATTACTTATGCAAAGGCAAGGTATTTTCCTACGATCTTCGAATTAAATTTAAAAAAAGAAAAGAAAAGAAAAGAAATTCGTGATTCTCATTTCCAGAATTAGGCAGCATTTTTTATGAAATACAATACAAGGAGGACCCGATCCATTTTTATTCAAAGCTCACAGTTACTATCTAGTTCTTCTCACGATACAAAATTCTTTAAAAAAAAAAAAAAAAAATTACATACATAAATAGCTAATGTGATATGCTTTTTCTATTATTTGGTAACAAAATTTTACACTATGTTGATCTCATCTTACGAAAAATGATCAAAACAAAGGAGAATTTGTGGTAGTATGTGTGGAGGATGACGTGGCAGGGGAATTAGACCGACCACCACGGCTGTGGACGGGGCTGCCTTCACTACGACTGTCCCTTCCTTCTGATTGTGTATGTTCCAGCTTTTGTACCAAATGTGAAGACGCTGGTGGCCGTGAAGCCACTGGTGCATATAAGCCGTTGGCTGCGGCTATGGTGGCCGTTTCCCCTGATGTTGTTGTTGTTCCGGCTGCCACCGTGGCGTAATCAGCTGGTGGCACCCATATCCCACCGACAACTACAAATTGAGGTGCTTGTGGATTGTTATTATTGTGAATTGTAGGGCTTGGTCTTCTTGTATGCAAACGATATTTCTGAAATAAATCATAGGTAATCGACTTAGGATCAACATTATTTTTGTTTTTGGAGTTAATTAATTGAAATCTGTTATACAATTTTGCTAAAAGTGGATAATCTTATCCATGAAACCAAAATCGGAAATAACTTCTGTAATTAAAGAGATATTTTTGCAAATTAAAGTATTGTATTAATTAAAACTCACCTGTAAATGACTCTTGACTTCATCGTTAGTTAATCCATCCACCTTCATTAGCTCTCTGATTTGTTTTGGAGTTGCAGCTGCAATTCATCAATTAAATTTTTTTTTAAAAAAATTCAATTTTATAAATTAATTTGCTTATTTAAAAAGTCAATTACCATGTGAACCACCAAGTTGTTGAAGAGCATGCAAGAACCGTCTATGCAACTCCGGTGACCAACACCGTCGTTGTTTTCTTTGACTACTTTCTTTCTCATCTTTTTTGCCACTTCCACCACCACCATTTCCACTACCATTACCAGTTCCTCCAGTTTTAGTCTCCTCCGTTGAACTGGTTGCCGAAGCCGGTACTGGAGATGGAGTTTTAGTTATGGTCTGATTATTCTTCCCTACACTTTTCTCTTTCTGAAATGGCTGAAATGCACCTCCATTTCTCTTCACCTCTGACACGGCTATCTTTCTAGGCAAATCCTGAACCAAACACAAAATAATATAACTCTTCGATTTTCTCTCTCCATAAATCTGGAGCCAAGCAGAAAAATATTTAAATGTGTTGGTGTTTACCTCTTTGAGAGGTGGATCTGCTGATTGATTCCATAACTGGACAGATCTAAGCCAATCAGATTTCTTCTTATGATCAGCACTGCTGTTCTTATCCTTGTCCTTGATATTCTTATCGTTTCGCTTATTATGCGAATGGTGTTCTTTATCATCATTTTCATTATCATCATCATCATCTTCTTCTTCTTCTTCTTCATAATCATTATCAGAAGAAGAATGAGTTCTCTTGATCGGAATAAACTCCTCCAACACCGGCGGCCGAGTGGCTATTCCGTCACTAGAAGTTTGTACAGAGCACTCTGATTGACCATGCATATACTCCGTCGTAGTACCGGATAACTCCCTCTTACATGCCTCAATCGCTGCACCCACCACCGTCAAAATTTAATTTAATATTTACCGTTCCCTCAAACGGTAAAAGATTAAAAAAAAAAAAAAAAATCAAATATCACAATTCACAAACCTTGCGTGACAAGCTCTAAACACAACGGAAGCTCGCGCTGAAAGACTTGAATCTTACGCCTTTCTTCCTCCAATGCTTCTACATATTCATGGCATCTCTGTAACTTCTCTGTATAATCCATTTTTTCTTTAAGAAAAAAAAAAGGAGACGGTTAACGCTAATTAATCAGTGATTACGACTAATTAATGACGATGATGGAGATCGAAGAGGGATCAGATTATAAGAAGAAATGAGTTTTGGACTGAGCATAGATAGATCCGGACCAACAAGAAGGAAAGGGAAAGGAGGAAAGAATATGAGATGAGAATAAGGGATCTAAGTAGAATCAGGAAACGGAATAATCCTACTAAAGACGGTCCAAACAAAACAAAAAGAAAACAAAAATCTAGAGAGAGAGAGAGTGAGTGATAATGGTATTTGTTTAATTACAGTGGGAGGGATTAGAGGAAGGAGAAGAGAAATCAACTGATCAAAGAAAGAAAAGAGGGAAAGTATCGAAGTCGGGGCGTCGCGTACAAAAACGAATCTTTGATGCGAGGGTATATATTTTGTTTAGCGACTAGTGAGAGAAAGAAGAGAGAGGAAGATGTTGAATATTCGAGGGTGCGATTCGCTTTTCGTCTCTTCTCTATGGGCTGGCAATGACGTCAGTATTTTTTCTCTTCCATTATAAACCTTCAGATAAGATCAAAGGAAGTTGTCCCCTTCATATCTTTTTTATTTGTTTTTGTTCTTAGAAGTCTGAAGATAAAATTTGTAAAATGAGTGTAGACAAACAGCACCTAAAAATATAAGAACCTATGACCAATAACAAAATTTCCATACATGGATATCAATCTTTAAAATGATTTAATTTTAATAATACAATATAGTTAAATAATTATAAATTTAATGGTTTTTTTTATATACAATTAAAATTTTATTTGTAAAGTAAAATTTTAACAACCGAATTAATATAAATTATAATACTCAGTGTTTATAATTCAAAATTGGCTATTGAATTAATAGAATAGCTAACGATTACATATTAACTTTTAGTCAAAATACTATTTTTATTATTTATGATGTTTGAGTTTATATTAATGTTTAGAGTTTGAGGGAATAGACCTTAAATGTTCAATGAAACACTAGTTAAATAATTAATAATTATTAAAATAACTAATTTTACCGATTCACCCCAAATATAAGTATTTGTGCGGCCACAGCTCCTTCTGTCAAAAACCTTATTTATGTGTAATGAATAAAATTCAAATTGTATTATTGTTTCAATTTAAAAGAGATTGAGGTTGTTTCTTAATTTAAAATCAATCATAAGTTTTTTTTTATTTTTTTATTTCAAGGTCTTATTGTTATAAGAACCAATTTACATGTGAATGGTTTTTTCAATCGTTAGATATTTTGATTGAAATTAATGTTTTAATTCCAGGTAAAATATTTTTGTTATTTCTAACTATTTTATCCAATAAAAATAGCTTTAAATATTTAAATAGAATTTTTAAGAATGTTAGACTAGTTTATATTTTATATTTCTGTGTTTTACTTTGTTCAACGTGAGAAAAGAAAAAAAAAAAAACAATTGATATGAAAAATCAAAAGTTATATTAAATCTATGCTAGCATAATATTTAAAGGTTAATGCTGTGACTATTCTCAAAGATTTTCAGTGACAATTTTCTTTATTCATAAAAAAAAAAATTTATTCTGACTTCTTATTTAAGAAACTTAAATCTTTTTCACTTAAATAAACTTTATGGATAATCTTCCTTTTTCTTTAATAAAAGGAAAATAAGATACGGAAATCTCATCAAGTTTCATATTAATAAGTTCTAATCAAGTTATGATATAATAATTTTTTAAATACATAAAATTTTGTGATTAAAATTCAATAAAAAATCTAATTAATTAAAAAAATTTTCAATTATAGATATTTTGAAGATCTAGATTGGAAGACAATTGATCTTTCAACTTCACGAGTACCATCAATTAATTATATAGATTTAATATGTATGTCAAATAAGATAAGTTACAAAAATCATTGAACAAAAAAGAAAACTCCGAAAAAAATTTTTATTTTTAAAATTATAATTTATAAAATTTGAATATAAACATATTATTGAAAATTTAATACTTGCTAATAATAGGCCGAAATAACGTGATGACTTATATAACAGTAAATAATTCTTTTTTTAATTTATGGAATTGATAAAAATTTACTCTGAGACCTAACTAACATTAGATAAATAAATACAATCATTCTGATTTAAGAAATAATCAATTTTATTATTAATTAATTTGATAATCACGATATAATTAACAAACTTTCTCAATTCTTACACAGCAAAATAAAGCGATTTATAATGTTGTACCATGTGCGGATCTTGACAGGATATTATGTTTTTATTTTATTTTATTTTATTTGTACGTTTAATATTCTATCTGAATGGAATATACCTGTAAGGTAAAACAGAAGAGGAATCTTGTGAGCGTGCATATAGAGCGGCCACGCGGCGTATGATTAGGTCCGGATATCAATACGCGATAAGTATCATTATTATGTGGCTTTTCATGCCTTGTAAGAGCCAACTACCCCTTCTTTGCTTAGCTTAACTACCTTTTTCCCTTGCTGTTTCTGTTTCCTCGATTTACGGTCCTGTAAATCATTGTTCTTACCACTCGCTTAATTGGCGCGTACTACTAGTTTCCTACTTAAAGATAACTACGAGGACGAGCCGACCACGACTGTTTGAACAAAAATTTATAATCAAATAATAAATACTGAACATCGTTACATAATATTTGTTATAAATTTATTTTTTTCATATTTATTTTTTTATATAATTAATAATCATTATTTTAATTTAATGATTTTTTAGAAAATTAGTATTAAATTAATAGTAATATAATCAATTTACTGAATAATTTATTATAACTTAAACAAATTTAATGATTTTTTTAAGAGATGTAAAATTTCAAATGTGATAAAGATTATGAAATAAAAATAATAATATTTTAAAATTTTTTCAAAGTTAAATTGAAATAAATTCGGTTCTTAAAATGATTTATAACAAATAAATTAATTAATTTCAATATAACATCATCGAACTGAATTAGACCGGATGGTATAATTTGCTTTGAAAATGAGTTGAAATAAATAAATAGTCCATATTTTATTTTTTGTTTGTTCCAAAATATAGTTCACTTTCCTTTTTTTACATTATCGTTAATCTTTGAATTGTCTACCATACCCTTATTAAATTTTATCTTATTCTCAATAACCCTCGTTAAGTTTTACTTATTATTTTAATATAATAATTGCTCATGTGTTATTTAAGATGGATATAATAGAAAAATTATATGAATAAAATTATCCTTTAACCATAATAACGTTTAATCTTTGAATTGTCTACCATACCCTTATTAATTTTTTAGTCTTATTCCTCAATAACTCGTTAAGTTTTACTTATTATTTTAATATAATAATTGCTCATGTGTTATTTAAGATGGATATAATAGAAAAATTATATGAATAAAATTATCCTTTAACCATAATAAATCTGTGTGAAAATAAAAAATGAATTATCATTTTAGGAATGAGGGAGTAGCTCGTAACTTTGCATAAGAACTAAAAAAAAAAAAAAATTGAAACCTTAAGTATACCAAAAATAAAAATAATTAATTAAATTACCCTTTAATTAACACTCATTTAATCATGATAAATTTAATGAAAATATTTAACTAAAAGTAAACTTCAAATAAAGTAATTAATATTATATTAATTTTTTAAAGTATCCTTTAAATTATAAAAAGTAAGTTAAGAACTCCCAAATTCAAAAGGATGGAGTAAAATTTAATTTGATTCGATTTATGTATGCTACTTAGATTTTATTCAAACACGTTAGTAAAAATTTTAGTTTTCAAAATTACACTATTTAGTCTTTATTTTATTCAAACACATTCAACTATTAATTTTTTCGTTTTTTCATTAAATGGTAGTGAAATGTAAAAAATAACCCTAAAATAATTACTGTGTAATCTTTATAGTTTGATCATTGATGAAATGCACCAATAAGGATCTCAAATTTTATAATTTACACTATTTGGTCGTTATATAATAATTATTCTTAAGGGTATTTTTTTAATATTTTATAACTACTAAGGTCTATTTGATAATATTAATTATTTTAGTAGCTGTTAGCTGTTGCAATAGCTATTAACCGTTATCTATTAGCTATTAAGTATTGAGTCTATTAAGCAAATTAGCTATCTTGGTAGCATTTAACTATTTAAGTAACTAGTAGCTATTTGAATAGCTTTTTAAGTATACATTAAATGCTATTTTTATAGTGTTCAGTAACATAATATTTGAATGACTTTTAGTTAAGGTAGCTTTTTATAAAAAGTTAACTCGGGTAACAATTAACTTTTAGCATTTTGTAAAAAGTTATTCAAATAACTAAACACTATCAAAATAATTAATTTTGTCATACAGATCCTAAATATTACATCGTTTAGCATTTTTTATAAAATATTAAAAGTTAGCTTAAACATTGATGCCGAACAGGACTTAATAGAAAAACTAATCGTTGGACTTGAGCCAAGAGTATAATAAAATTATACTACAATGACAAAAATAATGTAATTTTGAAAATTGAGATTCTTATTGATGTATTTGATAAAAATTTAGGGACTATATATTAATTATCCCTTTATCTATTTGCCTTGGAAAGTGAATAATGGCACGTGATTATTTAAGTGGGCTTCATATCTTTTGGGGTTGGGCTCAGGTGGGGCCTCGGGGATTTTCCGTACAATATCAATATGAGATCCGATCCAATTGGGTGCACTTGGTCTTGGGTTTATCAATGAATCAACTCGGTTAGCATTGCCATTTAGGGGTATTAAATAACTACATGTTTTTGATAATGTTTGCAAACTTAAATTAAACAGAAAATTTGGTGGTTTAAAATTTAATTGATAAAGGGCAATGTAAACTACTATAAATAAATATATTTCTAGTGAATATTATTAGTATTTTTTATTTACATACGTATTTTCGTGCTCTAAGTGAATTTATTAGTAATGTATTTGATCACATTATAATACAAGGTATATTTGGCAAGATTAGCTCTTTTAATAGCGTTTAACTATTAGCTGTTTGAGTATTTATTTATAAAAAGTTAAAAGCTAAATATTATATGAGTTACCTTTTTTATAAAACATTACATTAACATCTAAAAATTAATTTAAAAACTATATTACCGAATATTATAGAAAATATCATTTAATTAAAATGCTAAAAGTTATTTAAAAGGTTATTATCGAACATAGCCCTAGTCTATTATGACTAACTAAATCAAAACTTGCATCGATTCATGACTCTATGGTTGTGTTCAACAAAATTAGTTGTTTAGTAGCTATTAATTGTTTTAATAGCTTTCAACTATTTATTAGAGTTTCATTAAATATTAAATGGAGTAATGTTTAATAATTAGCTTCCTCAAACTCTAAATATTAATATAAATCTTATACCGCCAAATACTAAACTAGAAATAATGTTTTTTATTTAGTTTAAATATTAAACTCTACATAAAAAAATTATTATTCAACGTGGCTTATA